ACATTACATACATACATACATACATACATACATACATACATACATACATACATACATACATACATACATACATACATACATACATACATACATGCATACATATACATGCATACATATACATATACATGCATACATGCATACATACATACTTATGTACATGCATGCATACATACGAGAGAGGGAGATTGGGGAGAGAGAGGCTTGGGGGGATGGGGAGGATGGGAGCAGAGGGAGGGAGAGAGGACGACAGAACACACAAGGGAGACAAGGAAGAGAGGAAGAAGGAGAGGACAATGTCGGCGGACTGAGCCGGAGGCTCTAAAGTTACTTCAATCGTGGACTCATACTGCGGATCGACGAAATCCTGCACAAGTTGGAATCGACGAAACCTCATGAACACAGAAAACAAGTTATCCAATAACACCAGCATGAAACCAGTCCATTTGGAGGTGGTAAACAGGAAAACCTCTCCTGGTCGCGACCTCACGGTCTCTGACTACCTGCTGTTTTGCTAAACATTCCACAATCAAGCAAGCAAGAAAGCACGAACGAACAAACGAACAAACCTACACACACCAAACCAACCAACACATTACAAACAATACACAAACAATACACAAACAATACACAAACAAGCAAGCAGCAATCAAACAAACACGCATGCACGCAAGCAAGCACGCAAGCACACAAGGAAGCAAATGAATAGCTGTCCTCCCTGACTATCTCTTTGAGCCTCCACTTCTCCTCAACATGACAGTTGGTTAGTTCTAATTGAATCGAAGGCAAAGCCCATGTTTGGTTGAGGCCAGGAGTCCCTGCTTCTTTGGGCAGGTCTTTGCTTATGGGTATGGCTTCTTTGTGGTTGGCTATGGTGACGAGCCGAAGGTAAACCAAACATGTTGTGAGGCTTGCATTTTTGTCAGGCGATGTATTTTGTTTGTCGCATGTGTAGCTTGTTTGGTTGTCTGGTCACCACGTATGTGTTGTTTGGCTTTGAATGTCCGAGGTTTGCTGAACATACGCTGTGATAGTCCATATGGCATCCCCTTTGCCGGCCCGGCCCACTTATCTTATTTGCTACTTGTTTCTATACATGTTCGCTCCTTCTATATTTCAATATGTTACATTTCTCTCGCTCAGATTGCCAGCTTCCAACTAGCTGACATGTTCAGCGGTAAAAGCTGAGGCAGAAAAGGGAGGACTGCTGTCAAAAGGGCTCCCACAAAAAAACAAAAACATGCCACAAACACACATTTCATGTAGCCTGAAAGAAATGCAAACCATTTGCAAACAAGAAATAAAACAGAAGAGATCCCGGGTCAGCACCGGGCCGTCCATCGATCGCGCCTGGGATCTCTCCGAGGTTCGCCGAGACAGCGGCGGGGCGTCAGACTCGAAGTCGGGGAGGCCCTCAAGCCGCGAACCGCCGCGTGGGCTTTCGTGGTCCGAGTCAACCCGCAGGCCTTCCCCCCCCCCCCAAAGACAAAAAGTGGTTCATCCGCTCTTTGCTGCAGGGGCAAAAAAGCAGTCTTGAGATGCTTGCAGGGTTTGCAGGGTTTGCTCAACTCATCCGGACCAAAATTATGTTTGTTTTGCTGGTTGGTAGTAATGAAACATGCTTGGGGGTGGTGCCTGGGTTGGTCCAACTTCCCCCCCAACGACAGATCAAAACCTTTGTCGGTTAAAGGGGAACATGCATATTTGGTAAAATTGGCTTGGTCTCAGCAGGGAAACGGGCATTGTTTCATGGATGGTTAACCTGCTTCTCAGCCAGGAGTATGGGAATGGGGTTCTGACACAGTTGAACCATCATTTGTGATGAGGTCCTCCCCCATCCGCTAACATGGAACCCACCGCAAAGCACCGAGATCCGCGCCAGCTTCGCCGCATCGATGCGGGAGGTCGAAAAGGCACCGCCGCCACCCTGAGCGAAATTCCAAATCGTTGGAACCAAATGGGAAAGCGGCTAGGGCCGCCAGCATCCTTCTAATGGCATACAACCCCCCAGGAAACGAAGGGAAACGTGTAGTGGAAACAGTGCGGGTGCACACCTGTCTTGTGACAAACCCCAAAATTCACAGCAATGATTTACAAAAGAATGGCAATGCAGGTATGTTGCTTTGGGGAGCAGCTAATGTCTGGGCAAGCCAATACACATTTTTTTCCGAGCATAGTTAATTCCCTTGCCTGAAAAACAGTAAGGGTAGGAAATTCACAACATGGGGCCAAAAAACGGTTCGTCTCCATCCCAGCAGCTCCTCCAGCTTCAGACCCACCAGACCCACCACGAACCTGCTCCCTACCTGCTGCATACCCCACCACCAACGTTGCCATGTGCCACTAACCACCACCGGCGCCACCAACCATCAGTAGAGTTTGTTTGGTATGCTACCAAGAACAAGAGCTGACCTGACTGAGGTCCCAACAGCCAAACTCCTCATGGCACCTTTTCAACTGTCACCCAGCCACATGTTCAAGGGTGGTAGAGGGAACACGCAGTTTAGTAATGATCTGGTTTGTTTCAGGGTAGGCGGTTGCACAATAATGCTAAACCAATACTAACTCAATTCCAGAAAGGGACGCTGCGAGCTCAGAGGAACACTACTCCAATATTAACCAATTCTAAACAGTACTGAGCCACTACACAAGAGAAACAAATACTAAGCCGATACTGAACAGTACTTGCTGGAAGCCCTTGACTAATCACCACCCAACATTATGCCCTAAAGGGAGCCTAGAGGAACGGGGCTTCCTAATACTTCCCCTGAAAGGTATCACTGCAAGGAAACTCATCTTAAGCTGGCACCCGAAAGTTCTCAAACTTGCTTCCTGAGTGGCTGACAAACGCTTGCCGAAGCCGCAGGACTGAATATGAGCACATTTTCTTTGGAATCCAGAATGGCTTTTCAGCAAGAGAGTGACATTCCAAACAGAACTTCCTTTACACGCACCAAACAAAGGCCCCCCCCCCAATTCTAGGGAATACCCCCGCCCAATTCTAGGCATACCCATGGGCTGCTGTTTGGACCCCTTTTTAGGGGAGACAAAACCCCGTCATTCCAACAGCGATGTTCCGGCGCCTATATTTCCCCTGAAAAACAGTACCCCCACCAAAGGAAGCTCACCTGAAATTGGCCCAAAAAATGATGTTCAAAACCGCCAAACATGCAACATAGGAAACCCGGTCCTTGGTCTTACAAGGGCCCGCAAAACGCGGGCCCTTCTTGATTTTGCCTTTGGTTGAAAGGAAAGTCAGCCAAAGGCCTGCTTTTCAGGGTCCTGGAAGATGGTGTGTTAATCGCAGCTTTTGATTAATAAATCCTCCCACAATTAAAGAAATCTTTTGGGGGATCCCACAAATTGCCAATACAAACTAAAATTCACATCAGGCCAATACAAAAGTTAATTGCTGCTCACGACCCACAGCAGTCCAAGCAGCAGAACCCCCCCCAGAATTAAAGAAATTTGTTGCCAGGCCCCGACCAGCCGATACTAAATTCAGAAACTCTCCAGGTAAACCTTATTTAACAGTGTCCTTCCTGACCTACTCAAGTCTCACGTCAGCTCAAGTCGCTTGCCTACATCAACAAACCTCCCCCACAATTCAAAAACCTGTTCCTAACATACCAATGAGTTCATGAGCCAGTCCCAAAGCTTGCTGCAAGAGAGTTCTTTTTGCGCCAACCCGAGCGGGTACAAAGCTGCATTCCTGCACCTCTAAAATAGTAGCATTACCCAGAATAATGGCCAAGCCCTGCCGCCACTGGCGCCCACATTCTCCCAACTCCTTAGCTCCAAATCCCAAACCCCAAACCTCACCAGCATCAAAACTTGCAATCCCAAGTACTCAGCTTGTACTGAAACCTGGGACTTTTCATGACCTCCTGCACAGCAACCCACATTAATGAACACCCCCCCACAATTACAGAAAATGCTTTCCTAAGTTGGAAAAAGCAAAAGCTCCCGAATACTAAATCAGTTGAGGCTCCTTTTGAAAGATCCAGACCCGGAGCCCAACGATCCGGGGGGGGGGGGGGCCGGAGGGGGGGGGACCCAAAGCGACGATTAACTGGAAAGCTTCCAACCCCTGGCCTCCATAATCGCGGAAGCCACGACGTTCCTGCACGACGATTCAGGCTGAATGACTGTGTCCTAAAGTGACGTCCCCAAAATCACAGCTTTAAATGATGACTTGAAGGGGCACGTAAAAATATCATCATGCATGAGACGCCCTTTCAAATATCCCTTAAATGTTGAATTTGCCTGGAGGCTGGAGGAGGACGGCCCCTAGGTCCGTCTCTCTGTGAGTTGGCACGGACAAATCCTGCATGGAGTGATGGCATGACTCCTACTTCGATTTCTGCGTTTTGGCAGCAATAAATTCCGACCAACCAACTCTCGCAACCAGTCACCAACCCTTCAGGGCTTGTGCATACTTGAAATGAGCCACCACGTGGCGCCAACGAATACCAGCAAGTCACCTGCAGAGCCATTGCAAGGACTGAATAGAGAAAGCGTGCAACTGAGCACTCTGCACCTAATTCTTTTCCCAATTCCCGTCCTGCATTCTATAGAACGCCAGCCTTCCTTTCAGGACCCAAAGAGCAGCAACCCTGTGAAGAATGGCACGTTTCGAACGCTGATGTTCACCAGTCAGCCCATCGGGACATATCGGAACCGCCGCTCACTCGCTCGCTCACTCACGCATGCAGACACTCACAAACACACAAACACACACGAAAAAGAAAAAGGACCCGCCGGCCTCTCCAAATCTTCTGAGGCCTTGTCCTCAATGCGATGTGTCGGCATGACTGACTGCAGCAAAAAGCGGTGAAGGCGGTGCCAGCAGTGCCAAATGAAAATGCGCCAACACTCCTCAACGTACGTACTTTGAATGGATAATCCCACAGTTTCATGCAAGCAGAACATCCAATGTCGGTCAAAACATCGACGAGCGCTCCAACATGGATGGTGGACTGCAGGGAGGGTAGGCAAATCACAGTTCTGGAGCTCTGGACGTGCTGCGGGATGACTTTGCAAGGATTCCATCCAAGACCCTCGAACAGGGCCGAGTTTTGGCGCCCGACCTACAAATAAACAATCCTGAAGTGGGACCTTGCATCATCTGTGCACAAGTTCACGCATAAAAAAGGCCATTCATCTGGGTGCAATAATCGCTAAAATGGCCAGGTTTTGTCCTCAGATCCCGAAAATGGCATCTCTTTTTTTCAATCCTGGCGCCACTAACACTAATTGGGAGAGAACAGGTCTTAGCTTTTTTGTGTGTTCAAAGAAGCCCGCTGTGGCGGCAACCCCGCATTGCCAAGAGCCGCTTTATGGGCAAGCCCGCGCCAAACCGACCTCCCCCGAAAGCGGCGGTCCTCCTCAGAGTCGCTCATGCCAAGCAGGCAGATTTCGCCCTCTGACTCGGCCGGCCAACGTTGACCGGTACCTCAGAGGGAAATGCACCGAATGTTCGCCTGATGTGAACCGTAGGATTCCAGCCCCTCGTTCCTGCGAACAAGGCCTAAATAGAGGGGGGGGAGTCTTATGATGGGATTGGGGAAGAACCGTCATAGACGAAAAAACATCAACAAGGTAGCTCCTTTCACAGGAGTAGAAAGTTAGTTAGAACCATAAAACACGACAACTAACAGCTATGCTGGAATGCTTTTAGCTACTTTCCGAGTGTTCCGTGGACTCACGTGCAATTGGACACAGGCTTGCCTCCCCATTCAACCTCCTGCCACTTTTGGTGTTATGAAGAACCTGAGGTGAGCCGCGCTCGGAGGAACAGTCCTCGGCAGTGTTGCCTCGTACATTCTGCTGCCTGCAAAATTCCTCGTGCAGCTTCATGTGGGACTAATAAGACTGTCACTGCAAGAGGAATCTGGCTTTGTTGGGGCATGCTCTCAAGAACTTCAGCACTGCCGTCAACTCAGGTACCCCCTAATATCCCGTAATTGGTGGAACAAAATGGCGGTTTGCGGATTTGAACAGAGAGAACACCAGCAAGCCACCAAACCCATCCTCAAATTGAAGGGAAACTGGTCCACATGCGCACTTGCCCAAAGTGGTCAGGTGTGTGTGTGTGTGGGTGCGTGTGTGTGTGTGTGGGTGTGTGTGTGTGTGGGTGTGTGTGTGTGTGTGGGTGCGTGTGTGTGTGTGTGTGGGTGTGTGTGTAGGTGTGTGTATGTGTGGGTGTGTGTGTGTGTGTGTGGGTGTGTGTGTGTGTGTGTGTGGGTGCGTGCGTGCGTGCGTGCGTGCGTGCGTGCGTGCGTGCGTGCGTGCGTGCGTGCGTGCGTGCGTGCGTGCGTGCGTGCAGCGTGGCGTGCGTGGCGCGCGTATGTGTGTGTGTGTGTGTGTGTGGGTGGTGCGTGCGTGTGCGTGCGTGCGTGCGTGCGTGCGTGCGTGCGTGCGTGCGTGCGTGCGTGTGTGTGTGTGTGTGTGGGCGTGTGTGTGTGTGTGGGTGTGTGTGTGTGTGGGTGCGTGTGTGTGTGTGTGTGGGTGCGTGTGTGTTTGTGTGTGGGTGTGTGTGTGTGTGTGTGTGTATGTGTGTGGGTGTGTCTGTGTGTCTGTGTGTCTGTGTGCTTGTGTGTCTCTGTGTCTGTGTTTCTGTCTTTCTGTCTTTCTGTCTGTGTGTCTGTGTGTCTGTGTCTGTGTCTGTGTCTGTGTGCGTGTGCACGTGTGTGTGTGTGCGCGCGTGTGTTGTGTGTGTGTGTGTGGGATTCAGGCACCCAGCATGGCGGAATTGGTTTACTACTCACCTGCGAGGAGTTATGAAATGTGTGCGTCTGTGTTCTACAGTTGAATCACCAGAAACCCAATTCAAAGATCATATCCATTTTGCTCCCATATCCCTAGGGGCAACTCCAATTGGTTCTACCAAGATAAAGCCACCAGTACAATCCTCGCTAAAGAACCACAGAGAACATATTGGACCCGACTCTCAAGTTGCTCAAAAACGGCTTCGCGCATTGCCCCAGATATATTTGACCCTCGATGGCCCTTTGACCACCTAAGCTAAATTTGTTGCTGTTTGATCCGGCAAAACACATTTCCAGGCTCAAAGAAGGTCGCACCCACGGGGTCACCTGACCGATTTGCTGAGATGAGGCTGCGGCTTGACACGGACCCTGACCAAGCTCTTGCCTCAGCAAATTCAGGTGCCAAATATACCATCTCAAGTGCAAACTGCTGTGCATCTTCAAACCAAATGAAGTCATGATCATGAGCAAAACGCAGATTTAGCCCTCATCACGCACTACTGACAACACAAGAACATGGGTGTTTCCAATCAAAGCGGACCGTACATGCTTGGTTTCTCTCTGGTTTCCCTTGAAGCATCCAAAAAGAGGCTCCTCATCTAAATTTGAAGAAGCACACATAGTCGAAAGCTTGCTGCGCAGCTCTGCGTGTCGATGGCAAAACATGCAAGTGTAAGGCATGAAGATCTCTTGTAGCAAACATAACATCAACAATAACCGACAAAAATGACTGTGGCAGAGCCTTGGCTAAGGCCTTAAAGAAGGAACCAGGAACGGGCACTCGCATCAGTTTCCAGCCAGCCTGGTGCTTTTCACACTTTTGGGGAGCAAACTGGCAGACCAGGAACCTCAGAGCTTTGGCCTTCATTTTGCGAACAGATAATTCCAAATGAACCTCAAACCCAAGCCGACAAAGGAGTCTCGTCTTTTTTTCCCCTTCCGATTTGCGAGTCTTAACCCCAGGGGCTCGGGCCCGGCCGGAGCACTGCAGATCTCCCGTGGATGGCTGTCTCGATGGTCCCTGGCGCCCGATGTTCCGTACACAAGGGAAGCAACCAATTGATTGGCTCTGTCTTTTGCGAGTCTACCTTCTTTCTTTTTTTCGGCTGGTTTTAAGGGAAGCCGACAGAAGAAAAACAAATCTTGGGGGGGTCCCACAAAAAATGACCCACCCAATCAAACAACAGCCAAACACAATAGTGGGTCATAGCTCATGATTCCATCTTGGCGAAGCACTATAGTTCACAAACCGGAAATATACCGGAAATAAGGAATCCAAGGACATCCGGGACTCGCTATGATTTGCCCAGCGCCGTGCTGGCCCAAACACTTGGCGCAACCATGTACTATGTACGGCTTCATGAGCAAAACAAGTTTGGTTTGGCATATCCTCAGGACGCTTGGAGCAGCGGGCCCATAGCGTTCCCAGTCAAATGGTTCAGGACATTTGGGGGTGCCGGGCCCATATGTAAGGGCAAAACAAGACGAGTCGGCGTACTGGTGGCGTAGGCAGGAGACTTCTGCGAAGGCTAACCCTTTCGGCAAATGCATGGAGAAGCTTATAAGAAGGCAAGAACAGGCAGGGCTCAACCCCTGCTAAGAAGCATTGCAGTGTCTGCGAAGGATCTGGTGCTGAGAAGTGATCCCACCTGTGCACTGCCCTGAATATTCAATGATCCCAACCACATCCCATCAAACCAGGATCATTGAATATGGGATCGCTTCAAACCATATTCTCACTTCAGCCCTTAGCGACCAGCTATTGACTTTGGTTCTACCAGCATGGTTATAAAGTTTGCAGGCAACATGGCAAAGGCTTAAACAATTTCGGGTGTGTCTTTTCTTCAGGAACCCCCTTTTGGTTGGCTTAAGGGAAACCAATAGCAAAACCCGTTTTGGGTCCCCAAAAGACGAGCCCAGGGCTTCCCGTTCTTCCAACCTGGCCTCGGGGCTCACGGACCGAGAGGTGCCCGTACCCGTGCCGCGGGAGCCGTCCAGAGACCGGCTCCTCATCGATCGAACGGCTTCCCTAACCGAAGGGCCTCTAGCTGCGGTCTTCCCAGCCGAAAAATGTAGGTTCACTTTTCAAGCTCAAAAAGTGACTTCGCTGCACTTTAGAGGTTGGTTCACTTTTTAAGCGCAAGAATGAGCTGCACTTGAGAAGGGGCTTGGAAAGGCGGGTTTGGGTGGCCTCTGGGGTAAAACCGCCCACCTTTGGGCTGGAGAAGCCCGACTCGAAAACCTGTCAAACTTGGGATGCACTACAGGAATCTGCTCGCTGGCCTAGACTTTAGCAGTCAGATTATGGCGACAAGTTGGTGTATACAGGGCTGTCATTTGGAAAATAGATGGTCAGTTTGTGGTAAATGGGGCACAAAACCAATCTAAACCAGTGGAACCTATCCATTTCGAGCCAAACTGACCCATAAAGGACACTTATGAGGGCTGCGCTTTCCAGAGGCAATTTGGGAGCGAGGAATAATCTGAACTTCATAAATTAAGCCAAGCGTGGGGAGTGTTCTTGAACCATAGCAGGACCCTTGGACTCATCTTCAGTGCTTCCAAGCGCCAACTAAAGTCCCCCTGACAAGTCCAAGCTTGCAGGAGGGCGAAGGGGCCTATGCCAGAGCAAAGGCAAACCATTTTCTGCCAGTGGTTTCAGAGTTGGCCTAAATGATCTTGCAGAACAGTACCTTCTTTCGAACCTCCGGTGGCTCGCAGCAGGCCGCCAAGTGGGGTGTCCTTTTTCGGCTTTGAGGGAAGCGACTCGAATCTTTGGACCCAAACCTGTTTTTGGTTCATTCGCCAACTAACGAAGAGGCAGCATATGATAAGATGGAGCTTAACAAACAGAAGGGCAGGGCCCCCCGGACAACATGTCATTGGACTTCCATCTCTTTTTGAAAGACACGCACTTGGCGCTATCAACACCCACGGAAAGCAGCATTTGTCACCCAAAACAACATGGGACACTTGGGGGCCGCTCCCCTTCTTGTCCTCCCGAAACAAACAGTAGTCCAACTACGTATAATTTTATCTGTTGCTCATATGGTAGATATATTCATTCGCATGCATTTATGTGTATACATCCTAGAAAAACATTTGAATCCTGGAACCAGTAGACAGTACTTGCTGCCTAGCCAGCGGCAACGGATACTCAGGTATTGATTCCGCGAAAGACACAAGGCTTCAGAAATCAGCCCAAACAAGACAGTAATGTTAATCCCACATGAATCAACCCCATTTTATTGATAGGGGGGTGTTCACCTCCAAAAGTGATGATTTCCCACTAAACCCAGGGACATCCCCCTAATAACAAACTGGGTTGATGAATATGAGGTCAACATGACCTTCTTTCCAGCAAGCATGCACAATAGGGGCCCAAAAGGCCTCCTTTGGTCTGGGGGCATAACCTCACGAGCCATTTCTCTCCTTCTGCGGCCCCAATCCGGCAGGTTGCTCATCCAAATGGTGCTCAAGTCGTCGGCTCCTAGGGGCGAAAACCATTTCAGCCATGTTCAAACATCTGGGCAACTTACAGTTTTCCCAAAGCGGAACTGCGGGAACTGGCATCCTGTAGAGGACTGAACTCGATTACCCCCCAGGTGAGTTTGTTGCAATTCGTGAACCATAGACACATTGACATCCGTAGCGGTTGACACATGCGGCGTGTCATTCGTCAGGCACCTTTCAGAAGCTCGTTGGACTCAAACTTCCAGGATCCCGTGGCTGTGACTCATGCAAAGCAGTGCTCACTTGCCAAAAAACCTCGGTCAAAAGAGACGCAGTTCCTTGAGCACTGAAGCAACACCTGTGCTGACCTGGAAAGCCTTGCCGGAATCTGTGTACGGAATGATAGGGTACCTGACTAAATTCAAACGCCCCACTCAGCTGGGGACACCTATCGTGTTGGAGCTTTGGCGTTTGTTTGGCCATAGCAGAAATCAAGGCCTGGATGCTTCGTGAACCCTCATGCAAGCCCCAAAGGCTGGATAGGGTTGGGCCAAGTTCTTGTTTGATGTGTCAGCCATGTTTGTTTAAACAACCTCCTGGTAACCTCCTCCTAGTTTCTCGTTGAAAAAACCCGTGAGATTCAATTGCCCAACTCCGGTTCATCTTGGAGCCGGCTGCGCAGGCTACATGAGCCAGTCACAATATCCGGTGTGGGAAATTGTCCCACGTGTCCCTCCAAATTGATCATAGCCCCCTGCCACAATCCCCAGCTCTTGGGGTAATTTGAAAAATATGGCTGGCCATTCTAACATAGTCAGGGGTTGACATTCTGCCCAAGGAAGACTTTCATGTCGAGGGTTAAACATGATACCCGAAAATACCATGTTTGGAGAATGGCACGCTCGTAGTCAGGTCTTGAGCACCAAGAATAATAAGGGGCTGACATCATGTCAAAACAGAAATGCCCCCCAAAATGAAAACAACAACAAAACACACGACATGAGCCAATATTCTGAATTGTTTAAAGCAGCGGGTAGACGAGTTTCTCGATTTGTGGAATCCTCCGAGCCCCATTCGTTCCGTCCTTGGCCTTTGGCATCGCCTGGCGAAGGGAGGCGTTTTTTCAGGATTCCCTGCCCTATGAGTTGTCTTCTGGTCATCGCGCCCACCAACCTGGCCGGTTTCCTTGTGGGTGTCTTTTGAACAGCCCCAAAAATGGTGATGAGCCTCAACAAACAGACATCCCCATATTGCAAGATACTAAATCCTGCTGCAACATTCTAAACTGCTCCATCTTCTGGTCTCCCTCCGTCCAGGGAAGCGCTGGAATTCGTCATGGTTCAAGGAAACATGTTGTCCGAGGTCTGCACATGCATATGTATACCATATATGGGTCTACCATGTGCTTTTGAGGAGGCGTCCGCTGACAGGGCAATTTGGGATGTCCCAACCCAAAGCTGTCTCTCAGAGGTAAGGTTTGACAGCAACAAAAACACAACATGGAGCGTTGATCATGGGCGAGCGGCCACGGTCAGGTTGCGTATCTTCATGTTTGCTGGTGTCTCTGATTTTCTTGTACCTGGCTGGTTCCAGATTTGGATTTGGGGAGTTCGGCCACTGGTCTCCCAGTGGTTGGTTGGCGTTTTGCAAACTATTTGTAGTCTGCGCCCATGGTTGTGGGAAAAACCCTTCTAGGAAAAACCATTCTGTGATACCAGAATGGGCCTCCTCTGATCCCGTGTTCCCTTGTTATCACTGAACGAAACGAAACCTGATTTTCCACGAGCATGTGTTTTCCACGACCAATTACTACCCGCAACTGCTTTTGCAGAATCGATCTCTTGGGGTGCACAGTTCTCCACTGCCCCACGCCTGCGAGGGAATCGCACACCGACCTGTCGAGCAGAAGGGCCCTCAATCTGTCATGTGGGTGTGTCCTGAACTAGGGGATCTACAGTATTGAAGTTGAAGCCGCCCAAATTAGGACAAAAGAGACACACCACGACACACTCATGCGAAATGACGCCTGCGCAGTTTTGCGGGTGGTTCGGGCCAAACACAGAAGGCACCGCCGAGGAGCTAATTTCACGCAGGCCAGTTCATGACCGCTGCCCAGCGACTCTCCCAGCTTTCGCAGCTTCAACCCCCCCAGCCCCTAGTTCCTGAGCCCGCCATGCCCCAGTCCAGCTCATTCCAGCCACCTTGTTGGCCGGCACCCCGCCACTCGAGTACAAGTTCCTGGCTTTCCCCTGCAGCCAACAAGACCGCCCAGCCCAGCCCCAGCATCGTCTGCTCAAGCCCGCATTTCTATTGCGGTTCTTTTGAGCCTGGCCGAGGCGGACAGCGCGAAGCGTTTACAACCATGAAATACAGAGTGCCAGTTATCATACATAGGATAACTGTAGACATGATATGTTTGTGCACTATGATAAGTATAATATGTTACCATGCTATTGGATGGTATCCCGAATGTATAATCGTAAACTAGTCAGATCTCATGGAAAAAAACAACAACGTGTATTGAATAAATTTGTAGAGAATGGAATTGACATAGTACATTGCCCCGAGTGCGTAAAAGCAGTCCCGTATCATTAAATAGAACGTGTTTCACATATTGATGTTAAAGCCCGGAGATACGTGCAAATGATAAATTGTGTCGAGCAATTGGTTGATCACATTGTTATTTAAAAGAACGACTTGTTAAACCGTTTAGTGCCTACTAAAGCAATGTATACTCCTACCATATGTTCATTGCATTGAGTTCACGACAGAACAAATGCATGATAACAACTATAAAGCATCAAACCGTGATACTAATTGGTTTCAAATAAATCCCTGGTTATACAAAAGGATGGTTATCGGGTGGTAACATGTGGAACTATATGTTTGAACATGCATATCACAATTATAGTAACAAATGTCTCAAAGAAACTGAAACAAGTTGACATTACCCAGCATATTGCTTTGGTATATGTCTGTTCAACAGTATGGTTTGCTAAAAATACAGTAGTAGAATGCATGACTAGATTTACACCAAATTTACTAGCTAGACGCCCTGCTATTGAAGGATACTTCGGGCTTGCTGAGAATACCATGGTTACTCCATATAACTGTTCGAACACCACGAACTTACAGTAATGATCATTTTGCGTTGCAATCAACAAATACAAGCACTAAATAGCTATAACGATATATTTAAGAGATCGTACGGTTGAAAAACAAATTCCGCCGCTCGTTGCCGGGGCTGTTCAAATGTGTTCCCAGTCCGAATCTCCATGATCCCATTGCCAGTAATGTCTGTGTTACAGAAGCAGCATGAAGGCTGATTGGAGGCTTCCGGCGCTGCTCAATGGGATTCAGAAGGTACATGATTGAAGTATGGCTTGCGGGCTTGCCCTTGCGCCGATTGTCACTGGTGCAAAAGCGGCCGACAACTCAAGGCTTCCCTGTGCGCTGATCATGGGCTTCGGTCGCGAGGCCACGAATGGCTTGAGGAGACCTTCTTGGGAAAACATGGGAGTTCTGTGCATCCAGTTTGATTGTATTTGGGGTCAGCTCTGACTGTTTCGGGTTGCATTCCCCTTCAAATTTGGTGATTGAAAGGCCAAAGGAGCATTTCCCCTCAATCTTCGAGTCAAGTCAGCTTTTGTTTTGCGATTTGATCTCTTGTTTTGACCATGGTTTAAGCTACCAGTGGTGCCCTTTAAATCTGGCTGAAACTTCTTCAGCCTACCCAGGTACCCCTTTGGGGAACCCAAACCCCTATTTTAATGAGGCCAGGGTCCGGCTTCCACCAATTCCCAGCTAACACCCCCAGCCTCTCAGCGCCTGCACCTGAGCGGTGGAGTTTGGGTGGTTGCCTTGCTGGTGCCCTAGGCAGGGAATGAGAAATGGAATGAACCGATTGGGAGTCCCTTAAAGGAAACCATAGGGCATGGTTTGTAGGGGTCATTCCATTTTTCATTCCCTGCTGAGCACCAGCAAGTTGCGCCTTTTAATTGTTTTTCGCATTAACCACCCAAAGAAACATAACGCCCCCCCCCCCCCCACAAGCCAACAGCATCTGGGACCCTTGGCCACCATGCAAAAGTTCTCAACGGGGCTTTTTAGTCGAAGCCCCAAACCACGACCCCGGTGTTCCGGGGGGGTGACTGGCATAGACAGCCACCATATGGCCATGATGTGAAGGGTATATGTAGTCCATTCATCTTCTGGAAACATTGGTTTAGGAGTAGCAGAAACCTTCTCCGAGGCTAGGTGAGTCGCAACGGAAGTAGGGTGTTCAGCACCATGCTTCAAGAGTGACATTTTGGACGACAAGAATGGCCGTGTTGGCCAGTTGAGGAACTTGAAATTGTTCCGCTTGCGCACAGAAATGGATCTGAAAGTGGGGACACGGTGAGTCATTCCTTGATTCCATAGTTAAGAGCAAGCAAGGGGATAGTCATCAAGATCGGCTTCTTCACAATTCATGTGTCGCAGTTGCAATGGCGATCCGTTTCGAACGTAAACCTGTCGACGCCACACCGCTCCCTACATTCAGATCCAATCCAGGGTTCTCAACCATACTCTCTCCTAAAAATAAGCATGCCACCGCTTCACCCAGCGTAAAATCGAGCAGCTGTAAGAGGTTTCGCGTGCCTTCGCCATACCAATCATGCAAATGCCCCTTTGCAAAGCTATGGGAGTTTCAGCACAGTTCGCATGCAGTTCGCCTGTAAACCCGGTCAGGCAAAGCCTCAATGACCGGCCAAAGAAAGCTCCCACTTTCTGGGAAGATACCTGCGAAGAAAAGACTTGACATTTGCCGACTCCACCACCTATTCCCCGCAAGCTGCCCAGGGTCCCCAGCCAGGCTCCGGCTCCTGGCAGGATCAAAATCTGGCGAAATGTCTCGGGGTACTGCAACGACCGAAATGCACTTCTGAGTCACAATCCATGGTAGTCAAATGGTCTACCCAGAACCTCGTAAAGAATTGTATACGTGTATCTATGCTGGTCTAATGCGGTTTAGAACCCCCCACAACCCCATTCTATCGATCTTTGACCTTGCACCACCCTCACCAACTAACATGAAATCTGAGTGGGGGGGGAGAATCCCTTTAAGAGTCCCTTTTACACAAAACTAAGGTTGACTCCGCTTGGCGAAGAGTACTTTCAAAGGAGATTTTTGCGGTATGTGTCAAAGCATCCCGACGTGGTCGGAAGTGAATATTGATCCCCAAAGCATCCAGAGGATTCTTCCCCACGGCTCCTGTGTCGTCGAGGGCGTCGCATGACTTGACCTCGGAGTGTAGCCATCCCTTCCGGAAATTCTGATGTTCAATATGGCCGAACAATTCTTTTTAGCAACCCTGTCTTTTGCCTTGGGAGGCCAACCTATGCACCCATCCAGCTGGAAAGCTCCATAAAATTCCAACCGTTCTGAGCCAAGGGGCTGGGACCGCCTGGGAAAGCACACTGGCAAGCTACGTGGTGTCCAACTCGGCTAGCCAAAGGTTTCAGGGTCAAGCCCGTTTCAGTCTGGCCACAGGTGCCTTGAGGAATCCGAGAACGGTGTTCCCGTCACAAAGGCCACAGCATCACAAGATGGCCGGTGACTGGTCAAACAGCAACCCATGTCTTGCAGTGACCCCAGTAGAAAAAGGGTTCGCCGCTTTTTTGGGGCCCATGTTTGGCCGGGAACCGGTGCCACCCAGGCTGGATTGGGGATCTGCCTTTCAAACAGTGATGCTGTCACGAGAGGCGTGAATGGCGCTACGGCCAGGTTATAGGGGCATCAGGGATCAAACACTCGACAATGCCAATTCCATGGCACCGCTTGTGCTTTCGCCTTGACCAGCTCTTCGAGTGACCACCAAACTCCCCGAAGCAAACACCCCAGTTGTCCAGTGACCCTGGTACACGAAGGTCGCCCTTTTCCGGTCCAGGTTGCCACCTTTCCTTTCGGAACCCCACCAAAAACACGAGGCCCCTCCGGGCTCAAGGCCGCGAACTCACGGAAGCTGCAGGGCCTGGCAAACATTTCCTGACCGACAGGTTCGATGGGTTTCCAAGGTCCAAGACCATCCCAAACCGCTTGCCACAAATTGAGTTGCCAACCAAAGGAAGGAGTCGACCAAAAGGCTCCCAAAGCCATCTAAAGCTTCAGAAGGACTCTTGTAATCGAGGTTCTGAGGATTCCTGTTTGGGGGTGGCCCTAATGACTCGCACGAGCCATGCGACTGTTCTCACACAAGAGCCTTTTGGGTTGAAAAGGGTGGGGTACTTTACGCTAAATGCAATATATTCAGTTCTAATCGTAGAATTACAAATTAGTAACAGCTCGAATGTAGCATTCCTTGCTTTCCCAATGTCTGGACATTGGACAAAATTGGGGCCTCACCCCCAGTTCGTGTGGCAATCTGGGTTGTCCCCCCTTCTCGTTCTCCCCGACACGAAAGGATTCCTCATTGGCGGAGACGCGGAAGGCGGGCGATCCTACTTCGCCAGGTGGATGAATTCGGGGTCGACATGAAACGGTACCTCACTGGTCAGAGTTGGCTTGATTTCAAGCAGTTTTGGTGACACCCCAAACATGTTTCGTTTCGTCTCAGGTCTTTCAGAAAAGGCGTTCTCCTGCCGAATGTCAGTTGACTTCAACCAGGGTATTCTCACATGCTGAGTTTCAGCATATTTGGGGCCCGGCAACAAACTTGCCTAGGAGGACAAACCCAACCCAGTACAGCTGATGAGCTGCAATACTATGCTTTCATTGTCTGTTTACCACGAACAGAACTTTTGGTTGCTAAGCACACAGACTCCATCAAATGTGCCAGCAAAAGAGTCAACTGCTTTGCAGTAGTGCGTCTCACGGCGTGCGTCAGCTGAGCAGCGCACCAAGCCCGGATCCAACGGACTTTAGCGAACGTTTCATTGGGGAACCTTCTGTTTCATCTTGGGGACTTGGTGACGGTTTCAGCCATTTGGAAGGGGCAATTGAAAAAAACGGCAGGTATCTGGAGCAGGGGCTATAGCCAATCTATCCGGCAAGGCAGGGCAAAGCCCACAGGCCCATAGGCAGGCAACGACAGGCAATGTGCAGAAAGACCCTTGCTGGGTAGCTACGTAGGAGTCTACCCAGCGAACTCAGCGGCCATATCAATGGATTTTGATCGGGTCGTGTCCCATTTTCAACAGGATCCATTGGAGAAAAAAGCACACGCCTGGCTGTAATCATCCAGTAGCAGCAGCTTGAGTGCTGGTGCGATAGGCAGGGAATGAGAAATGGAATGGCCCCGATTCAAACAATCCAACTGGTGGTTCCTTTGAGGGGACCAATTCCTGGGTTCAGTCCAATTCTCATTCCCTACCTATCGCACTCGCCCTCCCCTTCTCCCAGTAGGTCTGAAGGGCCTGCGCCGGCGGCCGCCTGCACACCGCTCGCTTCCGAGGTGGCACTGAACATGTCGTTTCCCGGTTTTTCTCTGGGTTTCTCTTCAGAAAACTGGCCTGCAATCTACCTGGAGCTGTTCTTGTGAAAGCTCCACAATGTGGATGAAATGATCAAACGCTCCATACATCATCAGTGGGTGGGTGGCATGCAGGAGATCGACCAAACTGGGCTCTCTCCAACCCCATGCCACCGCTCAAAGCAGACATACCATCAGCTACAGCAGGCCCTCGCTGCAGAGATGCTTCTGGCGCTCATACGTTTGGAAGTAGAGAGGGATGGAAGATGTTATCCCCGGAATTGGTGGCTGTGCGTCCAATTTTGCCCCTGTTAAACTCATTGGCTTGCTTTTTGTGTCTGCTTAATACCGTTGAAAGGCAAGAGGCAACATTTTCAAAAGGGGCGTCAAAGAAGGATCCAGCATTTCAACATTTGCCATCAAGAGATCCTTTTTGATCAGGAATATCCCTGACAGATTCGGGCATGTTTGTATACTATTTGGCTGATCTGCCAAAGTACCCTTCCTCCCAGCAACATGAAAGGTATCAGGAGCTCCTTGTCAGAGGATCACGTCTTCGCCTGAAAATGAATTCTTGGGGAGATGTCAAGTGTTGAAACCCGGAGAAACGGTCCCAAGTGCCAAACCACCTGAGCAAAGACATCCAGCTGACAACTTGGGTATCTGTGACAGAAGCATCTTTATCTGAGACACAACCGAAGGGCATACAACGGCATACAACAATAGACAGTGCCATGTTTGAAAGCTCTGTACGGTTGGTCTCTGCACAGGAGAACTGGTGTCAATGCCACCCATAAAAGCGTTCTACATCTGGAGAAATGACTACAGTTCAAACCAGAAACCCGCAAGTATAGGGCCTTCTTTGTGGACTTCTTTTTACACCAGAATGGATGAGCTTGTCATTGTTCCGGACCTACGCAAACAATCGGAACATGACAAACAATCGGACCATGAGCCAGTCAAAATTTGCTGTTGTCTGGTGGACATGGGAAGATTTGAGTCACGTCCCTGCGTCCCTCCCACAGACAAATCAAACAATGCTCACATCCCAGGCGGGAAACTTCATCAGAGTACACCAGACTGAAGGGTACTGGGGCCTTTTGACCAAGGCTCACAGAAATCTTGTCGGACACAGTACTCTCCTGCAAGTTAACATGGAACCCAAAAACAGATCCCTTAAAAGGGAGATGCCTCCAAAAGCAACATGTCTGTTGCGCTCTTCTTAAAATAGAGGTCCCCCAAACATGACGGGTGTCCTTTGGCTCCCTCCTAAATAACAAAACCAAAAAGCTGGGTCCATGTTAAACTCCCTGGAACCAAATTCTGCACACCTCTCCATGTACCAAGTCTCCGGGCACTGCGAGCCAACCTCGGGCTGGCGACGGCCCCTTATCTTGGTGTTAAACCCCCGAAATGGTGCCTTTCCTTTTGGCTTCCCTTTGGAAGCCACACTCCCATTTAGAGGGTCATTGTCAGGATGTCACTTTGGACCAGGGAACTCCACTTGGCTGTGACCAATGGTACCATCTTGGGGTAGATGCACCACCCATTTTAGTCTATTTCAGTGGGGATTGGGATGTTGACTGGGGGTACGATTTGGATTTTGACCCATGGCCACCTCTGGGCCTGGTGGTTTACAGGAAAAGTAATTTTAAGAACCCTTCAGCATCCTCACTAGCCCGTAAGGGACCCAGTTGAATTGAGGAAGGGGTGCTCAAAGGCAAGCCACACTCACCAGGGTCAAGTTCGATCAGTCTCTTGGACTCTGAGACTTGCAGTTTGAAGCCAAGGGCGGCACTCGCTCCTGAATCTTGTTCACCCCTAGTTGCCCGGTCCTCGACCTTCAAATGCCAAGTCCGCGCTCCCAAACCCAAACCGATACCCATCAACCTACAATACCGATAAGGGCCGTCCCACGCCAGGCAATATGATGGCTGAAAAGCAAACATTTGGTAATAGTATATGGGGCCAAATGAGTACACACGTCTCGCTATCCTGTGATTAGGATTGAGATTGGCTTCAACATGGGACTTATGTCTGTGATCTGATTTTTTGTGGAGTAGAGTTCCGGGATTTGCCTTCTTCGATCTCGTCATTTTGGGAATTCCATCAATAAGCATGTAGACAACACATATTCACTGTTTTGTTTATTGCTTGTTTAAATTATTTGTTGCGTATGTGTTGCTTATTCTTAACTATCTTTATCATATTCCCCTCACCCGTCACCTCTACACCTCACCTAAAGACCGCGTGAGGGAAGCGAATGGATTTGACAATAACATAAACCAAAAGACACAACACAAAACATAGAAGAGACGTCAAGTGATAGAAACCAAAGCAATACCTGGTGAGCATGCTAGTCAGAACAGATGCGTGCTGATCGAGGAAAACAGACTTTGCAGGAGGGAAATAAGGGGCTCCTTCAAAAGGATCTCTACACTTTTCGCAGTTTCCTCTATATCCTGCACTGCTTGCCCCCTGCCTCCCTCCTGAAATCGAGTGTGGGGGGGTTGCCTTTATCCCGGTTTCCCAGTGACGGCAGAAAGACTTCACCCCCAAAGTAAGTGGTGTCCCTTAAGCTCGGGTTATCGCCGGAGACAGTGACCCCGGAAAATGGGATCGATCCATTGACCATTTTGTCCCAGGGTCCCCCAAACGAAAACGGGAACCTGGTGCTAGACACCAAGATCCAGTACCTTCAAAAAGTAACCCCAAGGTCCATTTTGCCAGGGACCATTGGCCCTATAAACCATCCCTAAGTTCATTCCCCCATTCCCTACCTATCGCACCAGCAAGAAAAGTCCCCAAAACCTCACCGCCATTGAATTCCTCCCTCGCCCTCGCGCCCTCCCTCGCCCGCCCGCGATATCCGCTGGAGCTCCGGCACGCCGGCGTCTGTATTCCGCGCGGCCTCGGAGCACGAAGCACGAAGCAGGTCGGCCGGGGGGGGGTTGGGTTCTGATCCCAGGGGCCGTGGGTGCCAAAGGTGAAAAGACGCGATTGCACCTTGTGGAAAGCCAAACATAGGGGCGCAGCACCCAGAGCTGCATTGGACCAGAGTCTCCGTGAAGTCACTTGTTCAAAATGGGGGTATCCCTACTGCAAGGGCCGAAATAAATAGAATGGAGTCGGCGGTACTTTGAAACCCACATAAGTCATGGGAACAGGAGCAAACTGTTATTTGTTTAGCCCTGTTTAATCCTCATCCACAAGCCGTGATACCACCACCGCAACAAAAACACACTACCATCTGGCATAAGGATTGAGGCCGCTTCAATAAAACTACAAAAACACTGTTTTGCTTGCGGGTGCTTGGCCCACGTGCTGGCCATGTTCTTTAAGCAGGTTTCTCTGGGTGCCCATCCAAGTACGGCTCTCATTCGGATCAGTGCACATGAACATGGCGAAGATACGATATGGTTAACACAACATTTACCAAGCCAATGCCAGGGCTTCAATTCAAAACAAGAGACCTTTGTTGCGACAAGAGTTCCTACACGTCATCTGAGCAAGTCACCGTCAAATTCGTGAAATGTCACTGGCGCTTCTCAGCCAGTTTCCTGGGCATCTCCTGTAGCTTCACGGAACCCAAACCAACTTTGTCATTTTGAGAAGCATCTCCCGTCGGCCCCCCCTCTTTTGTCAATCAATTTGGAGGGGAGCAAACAAGGGGGTTGATCAACGGAAGACCAAAATGGTCGCTTCGCTTCGGATAAGTTCTCTGTTGGTCATCGGTTCACATGAAGCATCGAGCCTGCGAGCCCCACAAGTGCAATTCTTTTGCTGCCTGTGCGCGGTGCACTGGGGGCTGTGGGGCCCAAGAGGCTCTCTTGGCCTCCATGTTTCGATTCTAACACTCATCCAATAAGCAAACAACCCTCTCCAGGGAGGGCGGCCAAATCAAAAGACCGGCGGACATGAGCTCACAGCTTCGACACCTTCTCGGCTTTTTTGCCTCGGGATGGGCAAGCTGGAGCATTCAGCCTAAAATCGTGCTAGCATGTGATGTCTCCCCCCTTTTTGGCACAAGCAACGCTGACCCTGCGCATGTCAACAGCGGGTTTGACGTTGGAACTCCTTTTGGGGAAGATCAGGGACAGAACCCTTCTTGAAGGGCATCTCTCAAGCGCGTGAATATGTGAACACTTGTGAATTGTGACTTCGATTTCATGCATGACCGCCGACATGCACCAAGGAGCTTTTACACACATGCAAACTCTGCGAGGCGATGTTGCCGCCGGCTACAATGCTCTTGGCCTTCTCCCCCTAGAACTGAAGCGGTGACCATGACTAAACCGAGGTGACACTAGACCTCATGGTCGACTATTGTCGCCAGCTCATGGCCCCATTGTCAGCGTCCCGAGAAGGCTGCTTGGCAATTTTCATGGCTTGGCTATGAGCCAAAACAATGACGGATTCCGTTTTATGAATATTCAATCATTTCAATCCTAAAGCAAACCGCTTGGCTTCAAAGCAAGCCTCAGTTCAAGCGGGGCTCCGGTTGAATCTGATTCAGGAGGCATTCCGTTCATGATTTGCCTCCAGCCAACGAATGTTCATCCTTCAAGCCCGGCACAAACCTGATCTGAGCCTATTGGCTTTAGGCACCCGAAACCGCTTTCCTCAGGCGAGTTGATGTGTCCGGGCTGTTCAAAACGGAGGGCAAGTCAATCCACGTCTGCAAGTTTTGCAATGAATTCAAAGCGTGAATTAAGGAATCACCCAGTACAGGACCTACACCGTGAATTTTGCAGAAAACGTGACGCGACGGCCAAGTATAGAGGCGCGCCAACAAACAAATGTTCAACGGCGTGGGTCCTTGAAGCCGCTTGTGGCTAACATCCCCATCCCACCTCCAACTTGGAAAGCCATAACACTTCCCGCGTGGAAGGTCCAAAGCAGCCCAACTATTCTTTAAGCGCGGTGTAATTTCAAGCCACGGTCAACATGCCTTCATTCTCTTTTGTTCGCCGCTTCTTGACTCGACGCCGGCTATGTAGGCGTGAGTCGCAGGTGAACCATCTGCTTGCTGAAGGAGCTTCATGCCTGACAGGTTGCCGAGCTGCACCACATAGACGGTGAGCCAGCCGCGTCGCAACCAAGCCTGACCACAGCCGACAGCTTCTCAGCCGCGCTGACATGCGCCCTATGAGACAAGGTGCGCACCATCAGCCTGGACACCACGTTGCGCCATCCTCACGCAGGATGTAGTCGATCAAGAGCCGCTCCGTGAACTCCTCTTGTCTGCAAGCAGGCGCGGGCGACACGCGGAGTCACCTGTACATGCATGGCAGGTGATACCCGAGGATGCCAGCAATCGGCACTCACGCGCGGCGCGGAGCCAAAGGACGCCTACACCCCCAAGCTGCTCCAATAGAGTGGGCCTGAAACTAAAAAACAACTTATGCTGCACCATTGCCATCCACGCGGCCTCTTCGGCCCCGCCCTTGCGCTCCAAGGCCTGTCCAGTGCAGCATTCAGCTCTTTGCCAGACCTTGTCCAGGGCATGTCCCACCTGAACGTACTGTGTGCTGGTCGATCATCTTGATTGCTGCCCTCCCAGCAAAACGCTCCGGCTGATCCACCTCCATGTGCACCATGTCCTGACTGACTTGAGAAAAGCCTGGGCTGCCCAATTCGGAGCTTCTCTTCGGCGACCACGCACGCCATGGCGCCCACCAACCCGCTGCTGCCCCGTTAAGGCCCTATACCAACCCCTAGCAATAGAACGGCCGATTCAGTTGGTCTGAGCTGCGGATGTTCGGGCCAATCTGCTTCAGGGCGGCGTGGGTCTGCTCAAAGCCCGGCAGCTTCTCGCAGTTGTCTAACCTCAACTCAACGTCCGGAGGATGGGTCGGGCTTCTTGAGTGACTTGGCCAGAAAAGGTGCAGACTGTTCGCTAATACAAAAAGAAGCCCACTAACTGGTCAAGTCAGTCAACCAAAGTTGCGATTGAGTGATCTTAGAGTGGGCTCTCGGTTCGGCTTACAGTGGATTTCAGGTTGGCTGAGGGAACCAAGCAATGCTCAAGCTCGAGCCATGTCCCCTCCCCAGCGTGGCTCCGTGGCATGCACCCCACGTCTTTTTGGCCCCCGGCCACTTCAGGAGCTTCGGGTAGCCGGTGAGTTGGATGCCGTTCACCTCAAAGAGCCCGGTGAACTTCGGCAAGCACTGGCCCACCTCGCAGTAACCTCGATTCTCGGGGGCTGAGCCGGTGGTAGGCAGTCCTCACCCATGGCGGAAACTCCTCCCTTTCGCGATACATCGGTTTGGGTCAACTTTGGGTATTGGTGGTGACTCAAGGCTTGGCAAATCAAACTCCCTCACCTATTCAGCTATTCGCGTTTGCTTGGTTTTGGTACATCGTTGTTTCCAAACCGTCCTTTACTGTTGTTGACTCGCCCCTTCTTTGCTTCTCGGGCAATGCTCCATCCCTGCAGCGTTTCTTGGAGCGGACTTCCCCCTTCAATCACGAAATTCACCAGGCTCTGGCTCCAAGGGACCCCCAAGGGAGACTCCGGTCCGCCCGCAAAGAGGTACTCGAAGGCTGGCACCCTACAGCAATGTATATATATATAGTATAGACATACATAACATATAAGCCAACCACATTTGCTCATTCATTCGAGTCACAATAACAACCTGGTACTAAAACGGCCTGCCCAAAACAATGTAAAGAACTGAAAGCAGCCACACCTAGTTCTGGTGCGGGCTGTCCCATACTAACCTTCACCTACCTGGGTGTTGATTGTGGCTAAGTGTGTACATGTATGTCAAAAAGCTGCCAGTTGCTGAAATGGGCCACACTGTTGTGAGCACAGAGCACATGGTTGAGGCTCGAATGCGCGGACCGCTCAAAGTAGACAGGTCAAGTCACTCCCAAACACTTTGAACAATCCGCACTGGTTTTCCAATTTAACACGGCAGACTCGCCAGTGAGACTTGCCACCACCCACCTCCCCCACCTCCACCTCCCCACCCACCACCCCCACCTCCCCACCTCCACCTCCCCGCCCCACCGTCTTTCTGTCAGGCCGCAAGAGAGATCTGCCACAGTGGGGGAGGGACCACAGAGCCACTCGTTCTCCCCCAGCCATCGCTCCAGCGTCTGCAAGGTGCCCGCAATCTCCTCCAGCCCGAGGTGACTTCTAGCGTGCAGCGTCACAGCAGTCAGGTAGCCCTTTAAGGTCTGTTTCTTTTAACATAGATGGGGTTCAGTGGTTGTTGGGTTGGTTCTTGCTCACTTAGCATTTCATAGCATTTCTCAACAGGACCAAGGACCCGAAGAGGTGCGCAAACAAAACCCAACGCAATGACGGCACCACTTGGGTGTGGAAGGGGTTACTTCAACAAGAAACACACCCACGTGCCATTGCTTAAATCGAATGCTGAGGACCTTAAAAGGCGGATCCGAAACGGGTGTTGCGCCCATAGTCTCACATTCAATCTGCCAACGTCGAGGATAAGCAACCAACCAACCAACCAACCAACCAAACAAACAAACAAAAGACAGGCAAACAGACAGACCGACGGACTGACCAACCGCAGACAAGCAAACAGACAGAGCCAGCCAGACAAACAAACAAACAAACAAAACAACACAACATGATTTCCCCGTTTCCATCATGGAACTAGATACGGGGCCTTTTCAACAGAGGACTTTCCATCAGCTTCAGAACTGCTTTACCCGGACAGAACCAAGGGATGGCAGCGGTCGAGAACGTTTCACATAAAGGCTTCCAACATCCCAGGTAGCCTCCTCCAACATCCCCCCCCAATCCCTGCCCTTTCTTGGCCCAAATCTGGGGTCCCAAAACATATTTCATATTTAGCCTATGGTTGATTAATAGGGGGTGTCCCTGGGGTTAACGAATTCATCACTTTTGGAGGAGAACACCCCGCTAATACCAGGACGAGTCTATTCGCCAATTTCCTTCTTCCGCTGCTGGGCCATCTCTTTGGTGATCGGCAGGTCCGGCCGCATGATGGGCGCGAAGAGCGCCATGGTGATGTTGCGGCAGTTCCCATGGTGCCAGTTCATGTACTGGTGCACCCGCGCCCTCACCTGAACGTGGGGCAAAACAAACGCTTTGAAATAAGCAAACAGCTCAGATTCCTTTGAAGGGGAACAAAAAAGGGGTTGTTGAGCAATATTCTGTAGTTTTATCATGTTGCAGCACAAAGGCTGGCCTCAAAAGGGTTGGCCTCACCTTGCCCGTCATCTACAAACCTGGCAAATGGGTGGATCCTTGGGTCTTGGGCAAATGTCTTCTAAAAGGCTGAACGTCCTCATCCAAAAGGCTGAAAAGGCACTTGGGGTCAAAACACTCACGTCACTAGCTGCAAGCAAACAATATGTCCAAGGACTCCGAAGAGGGTGGCAGTGGCCAAAAACTCGCACCAGCAGCTGCCGAGACAAAGGCGACAGCAAGGGCCCCTTCCTCCTTCTTCTCCCCATCATCATCATCATCATCATCACCACCACCACCAGCATCATCAACAGCAAATGCCAGTAAGATCAACAACTCCTGGCAGGGATTCCATACCCTGGCACCAAGCGACAGAAGCCCCTCCACGCCGAGGCCGGCCTGTGGATCCGTTGGGTACAGCTTCCACTGGAACTTGTCCCCCAAGTACGCCATGATGGCATGGCTCTCATTCAGAATGAAGCCATTGTCATCCAAGCCTCAGCTCAAAGGATCTGCAAGAAAGTCCAAACAGTAGCGCAAGAACATGAATACAGCCGGAGTCTGAGGCTCGGCTTGAGACTGCTTGCTTATCACAAGTGCCTGCAATAACTGTTGGTTGAAAGTCCAAATGCAAATGATCAACACAGGTTCAACAGCCCACTGGATACACCTTCCACCCCTTCCAGGATTGTGTTGAGCAGAATATTGAATATGTGCTGAAATACGCAGGGTGTGTGGCTGGCGTGGTTGAGGCTTCTCAATTCACATGGCCATGTGGGTCTCTTGCACGTTTGCTTAGAATTCGATGTGCCTGGCCCCCCATCGTCACGGAAAACATGCCGGTCCTCTTTGCGCGCTGTCTGCCCAAGCTCTTTGCTGCGTCCAAAACTGACACATGACTTGGGCTGAGTTTCAATTGAACATCCTTTGGTGAGCATCCTTTGTATGGGGATTTGCTTGAAAGCCAAAGGTATTCCAGCATGAGTGCTTTGAATTTTGGCAAACGCTTGGATTCAGGATGTGCTTCATGATCACCAAAGGGGGCCCATAGCACATGATCAGATCACAGGGGGATACGGGATGCTTAAGCACAATTTCCCGAATGCCCACGTGAGGTTCCAGTCTGCACTATGGCAGGTCGATGTGCCCCGGTGTGCGTGCCACCTATGGTCCACTTCCATTGTTGTCAACTGCATCAATAGCAAGCCCTCCTTCCAGTAAAGGCCTCATCCATGGGTGAACTCATTTCATCCACAGGCGAGCTGGCTTTCATTTGCCCGATTTGGTTGCAGCTGAATCCGCGGTTTGGTCCAGACTCCAGTGGCCACAGGAAAACGGGAGGCCTGTTTCCGGTACTTGAATTCAAGTGGATTTCCGAGAGAACCCCATGCTGCAAAACGAACATGCCCAACTATGGAGATTGCTTTGGCGACTTCTTCAGGCCATGCACGGGGCACTGCAGGGATCGCCCCCTGCTTCTTGTACTCCTCGCTGCGCGTGTCCTTGCCCGGCATGACCTGATGGATCCATCCCAAACCCTTCCCCCACACCAAGCCAACTCCAGAAGAAAGCGGAACATAGCGGAACCCCGAAAACCACAGCTTTTGGGCGGCAACCCTTCTAGAGAAACCTCCTTGTGGAGGAACCTCGACTCTTGGGAGACCACCCCTTGCGGGTTTCGAGTTCATCTGCTGGGTGTATTGCTAGGTTTGGGTAATTGCAAAAATGGGAATCCACTCAACATGGTACCCTTGAAAAGGGGTCCGCTTAACCTGGGACACACACACACACACTGAGAGTTGGGTCTTTGCAAAGGTTTGTTGGAGTCCGCACCTGGGTTGAACATGCAGACCCACTGTGGTCCAAAACTAAAGATCACTTTCAGGCCCCGCGCATCCTTTCCAAAAATCACAGGTGCGCAACCCACCAGGAATGGGACAAAACTGCATAGCCACCATGTGAAGGGTATGTGCCCTGTGTTCTCTTGTGTAGTGGTTTCGGACCATAGGATATAACAGTGTCCTCAAACTCCCAGGCTCCGGGATTTTCCCACCCAAGGCATGCTCTTCTTCTTTTTGCGAACTAGCAGGTCCTCCAGTAGAGAGGTTACAACAAGCTTACCCTGTTTTTGCAGTCTATTTAGTAGGGGAACCCTCCCGAAAAAAAGGGGCAAAAGGGCACTACCGGGGGACCTAGCCTGTTGTATGTCCACAGGAAGCCATCTGGGAACACAGGCCCAGCCGTCGCCTGGACTTCCTCCAGTTGGGTGCCCTCAAGAGCGCAGGCCCAGGCGAGCGCCCGCGCGGGCTGCGAGATGGGCATGGTGTAGACCTTCATCTCCTGAATTTTCCAGAAGCTTCCCTCACCTCCTGAGTCGATGGCCCCAAAATCACTAAAATAGTCTTCCCAAAAAGTGTAAAGTGTAAAGTCCAGCAACTCGGGAAGTGAGTTCCATTTGTTTTCCCCAGAAAAATACATGAGAAAACCATCCAGTGATGGATTCCCCTTGAAAACAGAGGAAAATGGAAGATGCTCTTAAGTTAATGGAAGTTTCCCATACTTTGCAGTGCCGGGACTGGAATGAGTCCGTCAACAGGGACTGGAACTGGTCCAGTCCATTTTGAGGGCTGCTCAAAACTAAAAATTACTTTGGGGGACCCGGTAGTGTCTCTGTAGACCACGAGGTTCTCAACCAAAGTGCCTGCTTGAATCGAGTTTTGCTGCCACCCCAAACCACAACGCTACACCCAAAAGAGTCTGTTGACCACATGTTCTGACTTGATATCTAGACCCCGATCAAAAAACACTATCCCACCTATCCTAAGGGCATTGCAACACTAGAGAACTTTGGCCAGTTTCGCATGTCCTTACCTAATGAACCACACTGGTTTCTCGGTGCCAATCAACCCAAACCATGCAAGCCATGGTCAAAGCTACTTTCCATTTAGAGAGTCCCCTGAGAAATTGGGCGAGTTTTCGAGGGTCCCCAAATGGGTAAATTCTACGATGTGGGTTCTCTAAGCCGACCAATAGCTGAATAGCTTACCTTTGGTTTCCCGAAAGAGAAAAAAAACGCCCCAAACGGTACCAACCCTAAAAGACAAAAAAACAGTATGTGGGTATGTGTCAATATGGGGGTCCCCAACAACGTGGGTGTTTTCCCTTTTTCTCCACTTAATATGTAAATTCAACCCTCAGAGGGTGCCCTCAGAAAACAAAGCCCTCGTGTAAAAACGCTTTGTGGCCTTTCTGGCGGGGGGGGACTTTCCCAAATCCCTCCAAGAGGTAAAACTCAGCTCTGCCAGGCTGCTCCAAGCAAGAAGCTCCGGTCTACTCATACAGCCGAGGGCCTTGAGCCGGAAGTTCAGAGGCCAAGCCGGAGGGCCTTCGAAAGCGATCCCAGTGACCTCATGGGAGGGGCATGAAAAAGAACAGAGTACGCTTGGTGGGGAGCCAAACCAAGTTGGCACATGTCCAAAGTGACCGAAGTCGAGCTGGGCCACCAGAATTCTAAGAAAATAATGAAACAAGTTGGCTCGGGCCAAAGCAAAGTCGAAAGTAACCGCTAATCGGAACCCGAGCCAACGGAATCCTGTAACGGAAGCTTTTCCCAACGGGGGGGGGGGTTGGGGGAACCAAGTCAAATCTGAGCCAGTCGAGCAAAAACCGTTCCCGATAAGCTGAAGGAAGCTACCCCCGCTAGGTGAGAGGTATCTTCGCAAGGAAAGGTAGACATCTAAAGAAACAACATGCGGTTCGCCTCTAGTAAGCAAACCCCCTAATTTTGGGTGTCCACTTTGAGTCCGCACCCCAATTGAAAGAAAAGGGGTCAAGCTGGTCAAGCTGTCAAACTATTTGGACAAACGAACAAGCGGGGGCCCCCGGGGGGGCCCCCGGGATACGGAGGGAGCGGGGCTATGGGGGGATTCCCTTGGCGCCATTTCCCATATCAAACTTAGTCAAGGTGCATTTAGGGGAAATCCTCCCGTATCCCTGGTTCCCCCTGTATCCCTGCTAGTTGGTTTCCCTGAACCATGGTACACCTTTTGGACGGAGGTTAATCGGCCGCCAAACATGCCAGAGGCTTGGGTAAGGACCATTACTCATAAACCCTAGGTTTGGAGGGACCTGGGCTTCAGGTCCCAAAATTGGGACCCCCCCCGCCCAGCCGGAAACCAAAAAAAGAACACAAAACGATGGCTTGCCTGAATATCCCTACCACGCCAGATGATCCTGGGAAATGTAGGCAAGAGCATCTTTGGCTCGATCAGAAACCACCCAAGGAGCTGGGCTCGCGGCCATGCCATCCTGTGACCTCAGGCAGCGAAGCCCGTGTTAAGTTGAGGCGTGACCAAAACTGATCCCAAAGAGGTTCAAAGGGGTCCAACGGTTCAAAGGCGTCCAACCTGCACAAGTCGCCATTGCCCAGGGTATTTGAAACAAACGTCATTTTCGGATTTTGACAAACACATCCTGTTTCTGACAGCACGACCATTTGCCAAACTCTAAAACACATGTCCTGAATTTACGCCCCCCCCCCCCCCCCGCGTTAGGGGCTTTATTCGTTTAAAGAAGGGGGTCGCAGTTTTGGAGGGAGAAAGGGGAGCCGTTGCCATGTCGAGGGGTCTTCCTATTTTTGGAGCAAGTTGCAGTCCGTTCTTGGGGGAATGGGCGGGGCTGGGGGGTGTTCGCTGGGTCGTCCCGCCGACCACCAAGAGTCACCCCCATGCTACAATTTGTTCTTGTCTAACATCCAGTCATCCACCCGTGCTGGTCAGGACTGCAGTGCAGTCCTAGGTATTCGTTGTAGATGTTTCCAGCCGGCCGGGTCTCTGCACTACTCGGGCAGTATTGTCCTGAATCAAATGGTACACCCTTGCCCAGAAACGCTTACAGTTGAGCTCACAGACTCTTTCACTGGCCCAGTCTCTTCTCTTGGAACTTCATTGCACCCGAAAGCGGTCATAATGGCTTGCCTCGCATCATCCTTTTTGGGGACCTGTGCGTTGTGTGTGTGTGCTGTTTGTGGTGGCGCTTCTGTGATGTTAGTCTTACGTCGTGTTGGCGTTGGTCTCAGTGCTTGTTTGATTGTTTGTTTGTTTGTTTGTCTGTCTGTCTGTCTGACTGTTTGTGGGTTGTTTGTGCGTATGCTAAGTACTGTCATGCTTCTCCGCATTGGTGCCGCTCTGCTCCTTCTCTGCAACCTTCCAATCAAATAGGCTGTTTTGCTTTCAACATGCAATCTGCAGTACCCCGAATTCGACAAAGAGCTAACACACACCCTCTACAATCCCTTTGCAGGTAGAACCCAGGCTTCAGCTTGAAAGTTCACGGGCCGTACGTACAGGTCTAAGGATTCAAACGCGTGGCTGTAGTCCCTTGCGCCCTTCCCGGGCTAGCACAACACTAGTTACCAGTGATTTTGGCACTTGCTCCTAAAAAGCACAGTTGAAATTCTATACGAGTTCCCTGTTGTCCAGTCTGCAGCTTCCTTCAGGGAGTATTGTTCTTTCTCTGAGTCCCCTATCGTTTGCCGTGGGTTTGTTATTCCCACAACAACAATAAAACACCGAATGCTACATACAACAGCGGCAATTTCGACAGGCGTCCGAATGTTTGGAGGGTTCCCCCATCTTGCGCCAAACCCACATGCGAGTTTGATCAGGCGCCCCGACTCTGGGACCTCACCTGACGTATGAGGGCAGGGAAAGAAACCCTCCAAAACAGGGATGACACAGGGTGCTGAGAATGAAACCGTTGGTTTATAGGGGTCATACCCTCATTCCAAGCACCGGGGAACTGTTGCCACGAAGTCTCCCCCTGCCAAAGAACATGGAAAACATAATATTTGAGCAACCATCCATATGACTCGTTCCCCCAATAAGACATGGGACAAGTGGGTGGTCTCAATTGGTTGCTTGCGGAAGTTGGGAATGTCCCCCATGCCCTTGCCAACAATCGACAACCAATGGAATTGTCCGTTGCTCACGTGATCCATGTCCTCAAACAGGCTTTGGCAAAAACCGTCCGGTGTTTTCCTTGCCACTCAAAATGGAGTTTCCCAAGAAAAACAACGCTCCCAAGAAGTCGTCCAAGAACTGGTCTTCCCAATTGTCTTTGCCAAATGGTCTTCCAAACACACAGAAAACTGACCACGGTGCTACATCTTGGAACAAGACAGTGGTTCGGTGTTCCACTCCATCTTAAGACACATTTGTTGTGGGTGTTGATAGTTTCATGCCTTGCCGCGTCAATCATTCCCAAGGTGCTGACCCTGATCCAATTGACATCGTGGGCTCAAGCAAGGCAACTTAGTCCCCGAGAAACAAACATGGAACCTCACACTGGCCCCTTTAGGTGTAGTTTCATGGTGCTGGATTCTGGAACGGCTTTCAGGTTTGAAGAGAGGCAAAGCGGGTCTTGCACAGTCTCTGCTCGAAGTACACAGACTGTGCAAGGTTGCTTTTCTACAAATGAGGCACATATTCTATTGTCGATCCACCCCTCCGTTTCGCAACCCCCCCTGCCGACAGGGCAGCGAACTCCGAAACTTGCAGGTCGAAGCATGGAGAGAGCAGGGCGGCCGTAGAATGTGTCTCCAGGAATCGACCATGAGTGGAATGGTCAAACAAGTGCAAACCTTTTTTGTAAAACCAAAATGCTGTTCTTCCCTTAAAGTAACTGTAAACTCGGCAAGTGAGAAGGTCGGCAGTGACATCTTTGATCCGGGCCACCAAAAGGTATGTCGTATATTTTGCCAGGCACCGGTCCAAAAGGAAAGTAGTTCCGCAAGAGGTCTGTACACTTCTATGTTTGTTAGTGGGAGCGCGCGCTTCGCCGCACCGCCCCCACCCCAAACCGGCCATTGGATGCCGCCTGCATCACCTCTCGCCTGCGAGAGCGGATTCATCTTCGGGGGTTGGCTTGGACAGCTCCAAAGGAACACCCAAACCCCATTGACCTTTGGTTCGGCCGGCATGTACCAGGGAGATAACGGCTTTCTAGCCTCACTACAACATACCCATGAGCCCAATTGGCCTTTTCCGAGTGGAAATTCAGCATGATTGAGACAGTGGATTCCCTAACCAATTGCAAGTGAACCAACCACATCCAACCAAAAATGCTGGCAAATTACGGTGAGGGCTGAGGGGGTACCCTTTGTGCCCAACTTGCAGCATTTAGGGGATCAGCCAAAGCATGTCGTTTTGTCCGCGGGGTTTTGGAGGACAGGCCGAAAGGGTTGGAGGACCTATGAGCAACATGGTTCACAGCTAAGAGTCACAAACTCCTCGAAGGTCTCAGTATGCCCTGCAATGGGAATCCAGGATTAATCAACTCCTGTTGATGTTCAAGGGTTTGTTCCATTTAAGAGTAACACGTTCACTTTTTGGCTCCACCCCTCATTAATCCTGCAAGTTGTTGATCAGGGCGGCATCTTAGCACACGCAAGCGCTGTCTTCGGAGATGTGTTGTCCCTGCTCAGTGATGCCAGAGGGCATCATTATTTTCTCTAAAAACACATCTTAACACTTTCTGCCACGGTTACCTTGGTGTACAGCGCGCGCCCTTGAACAGAGTTCCCTATATTTCCAGTTTAAGCATCACCCCACCAAAATGATACTCACTTCGAATTGGCCCAAACGGTGATCTTTAAAACCACCAAAAGGGGAGAATTGGGAACCCAGCTAAACAACAAATATTCACCTTGCCATCTGCTGAACTGGGTGGGTTCCTGCCCCCCAAGCGCCCGTCTGGCAGGTAGTGGTAGGAAGTCCCAGTTGCCCCCAAGACATAGAGATCAACCGCCCCAGATCTTGTACTTGGTACGTTCTGCCATGTGCGGTGTGCTTACTTCCCTAGCAGCCGACCCCCGCGGGATTGTCACAGAAGAACCTGTATACCTGGTGCCTTTTGAGATGAACACCAATTGACCCTTGCAGCAAGTGAAGCGCTTTGTTACAACTGTTGGCGGGGAAGTGCTTGTCGCGGTTTCCCTCAAACGGCTCTTTTGGTCAGACCACACAGCAAGCAAGAACCTGAGCCAAATGCACCTCACCTCATACCTCAGCGTTTACCCCCCCCCCCTCCGACCAAAAAAAGAAGGAGGCAGTATCTTTGATTCTGACAGCCGATATTATTCAACCTTCACATGTAGAATGGTACTCCTTCCCACCAGTCTAGAACCTACCAAAGAAATGCTTCCTCGTAGAGGAGAGTGGTCCAAGCGTCCAAACCAAGAGCATTTTCGCAGTCAGGTTCCATGGCAACATGGAGGGAGGGCACATTAAACTACATATAAACGTCCCAATCGTGGATTTCACTGATTGTTTCACTCGTTTAGCACTCTGTTGGCATTTGTCCAACCAATCCACAGGTGGATTCAGCATGACATGGAGGCAAAGTTTGCAGTATTCAGAGGGCGTCCATCCCACGTGGTGCCGATCGGCGATGTGACCGTCCAAGGGCCTCCGGCTCTTCCGGGATCTTGTCCAGGCACCGAGCCTCACCTCGAGGACGAAAAAACTGGAGTCACAATCAAAACCCGGTATTAAAATGATCTACCCAGACCCATGTAAAGAATTAAGAAGGCGGCCGCAACTATGTCTGGCTGGGACTGCCCCTTATTAACCTTCATCTACCCGGGTTTTGATTGTGGCTCGACTGGATGACTCGGCTGCTTAGACCCCTTTCAAGCTTTCAGGCTTGCTCGACCTTTGGCTCGGAGCTTTTTTTGTCTTGCTGGAGAACCTTGGGAAGGACATGGGTGACATGGTCGCCAGATGAGATGAGTGGAACCATTGTTGGGAACTTGTGGTTGGTAGCTACACATTAGCTTGTTGTTGGTGATTTACGGACCCCAGCGCATGCCTTTGCCGCTTCACACATCTTCTTTCTACTAGATGCCGAGAGCGCTCTCAATATCAGGTGAAGCAAACAAATGCAATGGCGCAGCACACAGCTCAAAGCGTAAAGCGTGGCAACACCAATCCTGTGCAAAGGACGATTCGCTTCAATCATTCAACATTTGCGTCGTAGCCCCAGGCGATGAAGTGAAGTCGAGTGCAATCCTGACCAGGCAACATAGATCAACTCCAAGTTGCTCATTTGTTCCTTGGTTTGTGGCCAAAACTTGCCATCCACCCCTGCAGATTGTATCTCAGAAAGCTTTGCCCGCCTGCGCGGACTTTCCAAGAACTCAAGGCTTTACACGGGTTTGCCCCTCTTTTTGAATGGTGTATGGTAGTTTTAAATGGCAAAGCCAAAAGGACACGCCAAGATCTACCTAGGGCTGATTGGGGGGCCGATTTGGAGACACCGGTTGCAAGATGCCCGTGTGGAGTTCATTCTTGGATGGTCGTCTTCTGCGGGTTCTGGTCGCTTAGGCAAAGGCTGGAACAAGAGGCGCTCGGAGCGAAGAAGCCTGGCGCGTTGCAAAGGCATTAGCTTGGAACTCGAGAAAGAGAAACTAAAGAAACCCAAGTCGTGAATTATCTGCATCTTTTGCCCTCGATTGGCGTGTCCGGAACCCTTGGCCAGCTGTCCAGCGTGGCGGAAGGAGTCGGCACATGGAAGGAACGCATCGAAAGACAACCACCACTATCAACCGAATTTGTTGATAGTTCCTCGAGGACTTCCTTTGGGTGCAAGGCTATGTCTGCACAAATCAAGCAACTATAGCCATCCCCTGTTGCTTTCATGGGGAGTTTTCAGCCGGCCAGATTCCCCTGCCTCTTGGTACTTTGCTACTATAAATGTCCAAACAATTGGACTGGAGTTGCAGGATACCTTCAAACCACATAAAGTCATGGTCGATAATACAGTACAATTATTCAGCCCCTGCTATTACGCTTTGCTGCTCTTAGGTGTGTGAATCCGCATGGCGCAAGCGATGAGAAATGCTGCCGACTTTGGCAAGTGACCCAGCAGGGGTCTTGTATTAATAATCCACCTGAACACTACCCTCAACAAAAACAACGCAATGGTGGTTTCCTGTTGGTGTGAGGAAAGCATGCTGTCTTTTTCAACCGCCAACTTGTATCTTTGAAGCTTGCGCACCGGCCTTTCCAACCACCCAAGACATGGGCGGAACATAAACCAACCTGTGACCCATTTTATTGGTTCACCCAACAAAAAGGGACAAGGACTGAGGTCGCTCAACTCAATGAGATCCGACCCGCAAAGCTCTCAGAGGGGTGATGACTGGCCTATGGCTGACTTGCCCGAGGCTGCAGTGACCAAAGTACGTCACACGTGGACAAACCGGCAAATGACCAAGAGCCCAAGGATGGATGTGCGAATCTGGGGCAAACTACTGACTAATTCATAAACCAGAAATGAGGCATCTCAATTTGATGGACATTCATGGCTCAACCTGCAGAAGGTGAACCCATTTTGCGCAGGATGCTTCGGTGCAGGCCATGCGCCAAGGTACACGCTGCGTGCCTTCCTCCATTTCGATCTTGTCCATTTGCGAGGAGATGGCCGCAACCTGCCCAAGGGTGGCTCGCTCGTCTTTCTTGAGACCAGATACCCTTTTTCGGTTTTCAGGGAGACCCCAAATAAGCCAACGTTGGGGGCTTCCGATTCACCCATCTACAAAATGGATCCAATGATTCAGAGCCCGCCAGGCAGCAACCACCCAACCAACTGGTACAGCATTCTGTCCAGCCACAGGAAGGGCAGCCATGAGAGGGTTCTGGTCAATGGTGCTGAGTCTGCAAGTATTATTCACCTCTTTTTCCGCAATGGCTCTGAATCATATTGCCCAAGCTCGTCTGTGCGGGGGCCCGAAGCGCCCAAGGTTCCAGGAGGGGTCGATGGGCTGATTTGATATGAGTCATAGTCAGAAACAATTCCAGAGGTCGACACCTTCACTTGCCCGAATCGGTGTTGATTATTCCTCATAATATACTCTGCTCAAGACAGTTGTGACAACTGCACCAGAAATCGGCCTGCATTGCTTAAGCACCCGCAGTAGTGAGAACTATATCGGCCTTTCATCGCCAAGTTGTTGGTGCCCTTTCGTCGACCCCCCCAAAAAGGGCTTGGCATCCTGTTGGTTCCTCATTGACAGCTTTGCCCAAAGGACAGTCCCTGCACTGCCAACGATGCCTTGGCATGTTGTGCTTGCACAATATTGAATCACAAGCCCTCCCTTTCCCCTGAGTATGGGAGCGCCTTTTGTCCACCTGACACTTGTTTCATCAAAGCAGCGAGACTGACTACCGCAGCAGCCAGGCCCAGCTGAAAGCTTCAGCCCTGTCAGTGAAGGCTGAAGCCGGCTACGGCCAAGTTGGCAAATCAATCAGCGGTCATGGTCATGGGCCCCCTCATGGAAGCCAGTGCGGCATCCAAACAACTCGTTGAACTTGGCGAATTCGCGACCCTCTGAGAAGGGAAAACCAAAGGGAAGGTGGGACTCATGCGAGTCTAGTGGTATAGCCCCCAAACAATCGGGTCGCTCCCCTCTTTTGTGTGGCAACGTCCCGCTGAGTCCCGCACTCCTTTGAGAGGGCTGGCGTTGGCAAAGGACTTCATGTCCTCCCACTTCAGTCCGGGAACAAGGCCAAAAGGAGTGGGACCAACCCTGCCATGAAAAAGAAACCTTCTCGCTGGCTTTTGCATGTGTTTCGCACATTTCTGCATTGCTCAGAATGAGGGGTCCCAAATGCTAATCCGCAATCCGTGGAACGCCGGTACGGCTAACCAGGGTCAGTTATTGATTTTCCAATCCTGCGCCAGCGCCCCAAAAAACATGGCAAGACCCTGTCGGTGCTGCAATGTTGCTGCAGTCCCATTGGGTTTTCGGCTTGGCTGTCCTTGGTTTGTGAGAGTGGTCAATATTCATTGTGTCCCCAGCTGGCGGAATTTGAGGAAACCGTTCTTGTTAATGATCATGCAACAAATGCCACCCGCTTGACCACTGCTCACGTGCCAGACTGGGACCGCCAAACCCGCTCGCAAGTCTCGTCCTTCCGCTGGGACACGGAGAGCCGCAAAGTGCCCACGGTGCTTTGAAGCGTCACAAAGTCCTCAAACCCCGCGCAAAGAAATAGGCTTCAGCTTGCCCTAGGTTGCGACACTCCAAAAAAAACAACAGGGGTGCCTTCAACTGAACATGCACTGCCTCTGGCCTAAGACCCCAACACACTTTTAATACCTAGTAGGTCTTCCATTGCTGCTCTGGGCATGTTGTTGGCTCGCTTTAGATTTGGAGCGGAAACAATGAAATGAGCAGAACTTGATTTGGCAGTTTTCTCCCGGGGGGGAAAAAAAAAAAACGGAGCGGAAATCAGCGAGAAATGTGCGGAAATTTAAGGACACACACCAGCACAACGTTGACTGCTTTTTGAAATCGAGCTTGTGTGGGAGCAGTGTTGTCCTTGCGCTCGAGGTAAGATCTAGGTATGATCGTCTTGGAAACCTTTCTTTCTAAGAACTGACTTTATACGGGGGCGTTAAGCGTGCACACGCACACAAAAATTAGGGGGTCAGGCTAATTTGCTGTACGGAATTCCCTGTCTCTAGCTTCTCAAGCCCTTACGATTCTCGCATCTCCATTCGATGTTGCGCGCTGGTTGCTAGGTTGTTTCAAAATAGAATCTGTGCCATCAACACGCTTCAACTCAGGTAACCTATCGGCCAGCTGCCAGCTTGCAAAACAAACTTTGGACGGCGTAAAGTTGGATCATCTAATGTACAAACTCTTCAAAGAGTATGTCTTTCCCACTGCATCTGAAGCCTGTTCCAAAGTCAACGGGCTTTTGTTGCATGTGGCTGCTTGTGTTTGGAGGTGGGCTTGCTCAGCGATGGCTGTGGGGTGCGTTGACTGAGCTGACTAAGCAGCTGGCACACGCCCGTCTCCGGCCGGCTGGCACACGCTCTCCCCGGCTGACTATGCGGAAACCTTGATTTGGCATGGTTTGTCCAGATTTCTCCCGGAAAATGAGCGGACATCGGCGGGAAATCAGCGGAAATCAGCGGGGCATGAGCGGAAATTCCAGCACGATTCTAACTAACTGAGTGTGTGTTTTTCTAACTGAGCTTTTTTGGGGTGAAATGAGCCTGTTTTTGCTCGAAACGGAAAAGTACAAAACAAGAGCCTGCAGTGAAGACCGAGGTCTTTTTGAATCGCCTGTAAGCCATAGAAGGCCCGCCTACAAACACTCTGTTTCGGCAAATGCGCGGGGTGGGCAACCCTCAATTAATTTGGTTTTGCTTTTCATTGCTATGGCCACATTTCCTCATCCACATCGTTCTTCAACACCTCTCTGGGTGGAAGTACATACCCCTTGTTCATACCCGTTGACTTCCCTGGTTTCCAACCCACTTTACAAGGGGTATATACCCCTTTTTTTAAAAGGGGTATGAACATCAGCAAGCCTCTGGGGTTCATTTACCCAAGGGGTTTGTACAAGGGGTATACAATATTTTTTGGTAAATCGCAGGGTGCATAAGCTGCTAAACTTAGTGAATGCAAAAACGACCAAGGCAAAACGCCTTGGTCAATCAGGTGACTTAGATGAACTGATTGCACTTGCTCAGAACCTTGGTGGATGCTGAATTCAGTCATGGCAGCAAACCTCCCTGCTAAAAACATCCCCAGCTCGCCGATTTCTAAGGGCGCAATTTTGATGGTTGCTCCATTGTTTTTGAGGATGAATTACACGAGTCTTTTCAAGCATAAAAGTTGACAAATTGTGCTCCTTTAATCTTTTGAGACATACCACCGTCGAATGTTTCTCTTCAAATGGAACATCTCGCGACTTTCTTGCAGCTTCTTACAGCAACGAAATCATACAGTTGGAATGAGTGGCAGCGTCGACCGCGGGTGTAGCAACCCGGAAGAAACAGAGGCTACTCTCCGCAAAGTGAAGATTTGGGTTATATTGCCAGCATCAAGAGCACCAGCGCTGGTTCAGGAGCAAAATCAGAACTAGCAGAACCAGCAGCAGCAAGCATGACTATGTCAAAAAAAGATCGCTTCATTTCTTGCCTGCATTGTTAATACCATAATAATACCATGTTCAAAGTTCTCAAAGGACATAGAAGAGGGCTGTATCTTCAAAGCAAGGCTGGGACTGCTCCTTCGGTTCACTGGCGACGTTGCTAAAAAAAGTGGTGGATACAAAATTCAGCCATTATATTCCATCCATCCCTTTCTAGCGCCAAAGGCGGTCCCGGGGTTGTCCTTGTTCAACCACCTCACTGTAAACAAGGCCATGATTTTTAATCGTGATTCTCTCAAACTTTGCTTGTTGGTGAACACACATCTGGTCCATAAAAGGGTCCCCAATTTGGAACAAGATCGGGATATGTGCAGCCTTCGGGGCTGGATGGTTGTTGCCTTTGGCGGCAAGAGGACCCTAGTCTTCTCCAACCCTTTCAGATACCAAAACACACAAGTTGACAGTTCCCTCCCCCCTACCTGACCTGAGTTGGAACTATTTCGCGTACCAGCACCCTCCTACTGTTTCTTTCCCCTGTGTAAAACTTCAAGTGCTGTCCGTTGCAGGCTGGCACAGACTTGGAGCCAAAATAGAAAACTCAACCTCCCAGGTGCCCAGTCTCCAAACAGAGCCCGGAGTCTCCTGGGACACCAGCTCCTGCAGCGGTGTGCGGGTGGGTGGCCATGCTTCCACACGGAAGCGGTGGTACCTGCCCACATCGGTGCGTTTTCGGATCCACAACTTTCAGTGGGTGAAATGGAAACCCAACCACTAAACCCATGGGTGCTGAGTCTGGTTCAAGCCAGGTGAAACTCAGGATTCAAATCGGGTTTTCATGGCGGGGAACCCCCTATCATTGTATTGTCATTATTATTATTATCATTATTATTATTATCATTATCATTATCATTATTATCATTATCATTATTATTATCATTATCATTATCATCATTGTTGTTATTATTAGTATTATTATTATTATTATTATTATTTAAAGCAAAACAACAACAACAAGGAAAATGCTTATTGCTCCATCAAGCTCTCCAGCCATTAGTTCAAATGCGTCAGCATGTAACTTGAACTTGGTCGTCAGCGACTGGTTGAACCTGTGCATTGCCCTGGCAAGGTTCTCCTCCTTCACAGCATGGGCAAAATGGCCAGGTGTTCAACGCTGCTGGGCCTTGCGCCAAACCTCCTTGCGCTTGAAGCACAATTGGACAACCTGGTGGATGAGGTGTTACCCTCAAAAGTGATTTGGCCATGGGTCAAATTCCCCGTACCCCCAGTAAACATCCCAATCCCCACTAAAATAGACTACAATGAGTGGTGCACCTACCCCAACATGGTATCATTGGTTTTGACCCACAGCCAGTTGAATTCTTTCCACACCCCCGACAATTCAACCAGGGGTCTCAGTCTATCATCATGCTGGACTCCTACGTCGAAAACCATCCGGTTAAAACTGACCAGGATGGTTCCCTCAGAAATTGGGAGCCACATTGGTGGTTTCGGGACGTCCTCAAAACACGCTTCCCAAATTGGGTCATGGCATTGGCGGCCCAGGTTTTCCCCTTGTGATTTCACGTTGCACTCTACTTACTGAGCAGTTGTTTGGGTGTGCATCTGAATAGGACCCACAAAATGGGTAAACCAGCCCCAAAAGGGTACACCGGAAGCACACACACACACATGTGGCATGTTGAGGTACTCCAAATATTTGAGAAGCTTCCCAAAAGACAACGGCAAAGCGGAAACAGGTACGCCCACCGTTACTACGCCGACGCGCGAGTTGTCAAACCATGAATTTCTGGGATCCCTTTCCAGTGAGTAGGAGCGTCACTTTTCGCCAGTTTCAGAGGTCCTACCCACACGAATGCGGGGGACCGACAAGGACTTGTGCAATTCCCACCCCAAGATCCATCCAAAATCAACCATACGGTCAATATGTTGTCTGAACCTGTGAGTTCTAACTAACTGACAAGCCAACATGCAAATCTTTCGTGGACAGCCGCAATTGCAGCAACGGGCAATATTTCTTAACCTCCCAAACACTAGCAATCCTGCTTCATTTGGGTAGTTCCATGCGCATTTGCGGGGACAAAAGAATTGATGAGTGCAGTGTAGACGAAAATCCTGGCATGGAACTCGCGTTGCCCAGGATGCGCTATAAGCCCCCTTTAAGCATCACCTAAAAGGAAACTCACCCTTGGTCGAAGAACATGGCTCAAGTCAAACCTGCCAGCGCCCCAAGTCCAAAACCCAAAGGACAAAAAGCAGTCATTGCGGGGCCCCGTGCCCAAAAGAAGGGGCGTTGTCTTCTTGTTGATGTTAAAGGGAAGGCGCCACAAATAAGGAACACACATCGCTGTGGGTCAAAACCGCTTTGGTACCATTTTGGGGTAGGTGAATTCACCCATTTTAGTCTTGATTTTAGTGGGGATTGGGATGTTCACCGGAGGTACGATTTGGCTTTTGACCCATGGCCACATTAACACCACGAGGCGTTTAGGAGAGGAGGACCCCTTTGGCTCATTGGAATCCCCCCCCTTTCGCCCTGCGCTCCGTGCCTGGCAGGCGCGGGCCCGCGGCAAAGGCCGTGTGCCTTAGACAGCCCGTTTTGATTTTAACTCTGATTACACTAGAAGTTTTGATTTTTGGTTGGTTGAGTTTAAAGGGGAACCCTTCCCACAAAATGGACTAGGTCCTCCAGAGAGGTTAGAATAAGGGTACCTTTTTTTCTGTAGTCTATTTTAGTAGGGGGAACCCTCCCCAGAAAAGGGTCAAAGGGCACTACTGGGGGACGTAGGAAGGTACTTGGACAGGAAAAAGGGTATATCTTGGTAAACGTGCCAAAGGGAACTCAGAGTGAACCGAACATTCGCAAAGGCTAGAATTCCGGTTGCAGGCCGAAAGGATCTTCAACGTCGTTTTGCTGTGCGGAGGTTTCTCCACCATGAGCCCGCTCAAAGGGCTCGGAAATACGTGCTTTGAAAAAAAGAAAAGGAGTGGCCCCAAAAAGCACAGCAACATGTAAAATGAACATTTACGCTAATCAGGGTCCCAACCATTCACTCCTGATGCTGGTTGGTATTGGCTGCGAGCACCCAGGCCGTCCCACACCCACCCACCCACCCACCCACCCTCCCACCCACCCAGCCACCCAGCCACCCAGCCACCCAGCCACCCAGCCACCCAGCCACCCAGCCACCCACCCAACGACTCAGCCACACACATACACACACACACACACACAGACACGTCACTTCGCCAACCATACTTTTGAAGCGGCCCTTTCGTGAAGTGCGCCCTCTTCCCCTCTCCGTAGCTGAACGCCGAAACAAACAGGCAGGCAGGCAGGCAGGCAGGCAGGCAGGCAGGCAGGCAGGCAGGCAGGCAAGCAAGCAAGCAAGCAAGCAAGCAAGCAAGCAAACAAACACACACATACACGAACAAACAAGCACACGAACAAACCAACAAACAAACAAACCAACCAACCAACAAACCAACCAACCAACCAACAAACCAACCAACCAACCAACAAACAACCAAACAGACAACCAAACAACCAACCAAACAAACAAGCGAACAAACAAACAAACAAACAAACAAACAAACAAACAAACAAGCAAACAAAACAAACAAAACAAAACAAACAAACAAACAAACAAACAAACAAGCAAACAAACAGATCCGGTCTCCCAGTCTCCCTGATCTGAGCTGTCTGCCGGCTGCAGCCGGACAAAGAAGAGCAAGGTACGAAGGACCACCGTCAGCTTTCGGATGAGGCACTGGTTGTGCCTGGCTTCCAAAACCGGAACACCAACACCGAACTGGAAATCATGAGGGCATCGGCCTGGTTCTTCATCATTTCCATTGACTCACCAAATAAAACCATTGGACATGTACAGCAAGGGGCACCCCTTAAATGGACCCCACTGCCCATCGACTTGTTTGGGGGGTGGGGACAAAGGGATAAACCGGACCGGGACTCCCGGGACAGCTAAAACACACGCAGCCAGCATTCAACTGGCTGATTTTGGTAAGTGCAACTTGCCAGCCTGAAACAAACAACAAGAAAGGAACCGGCATCAGGGGTGAGGTCACACCCCCGGGATCGTTGGAATCTATTGTCGACTCGGCCCCAATCGCCACATGGGTGTTTAACCAAAAAGTGTCCCTCGAAAAAGGTTGCTCCTGCCACCTGTTTATCAACCGAAGGCTCTCAGCTTCATGCTTTGCCCTAACATCTGAACGCAGGTTGCATCGACCCCAGGTTTCGTCCCGCCTGTCCAGCTGGGCCTCCGGGTGCGGAGCCGGCAGGAAGGTGAAGGTCCAGCGTTCCAAGAGCTCGCCCTGGCCGGCAAGAATCGGAAAGCCTTGGAAGGGGGGGGGGGGCTTTGGGGTCGGGGTGGGGGGGGGGGGGCTTTGGGGTCGGGGTTGGTGGGTGGGGGTTAGTGGGGGTTGGTGGGGGTTGGTGGGGGTTGGGCAGTTGGGGGGGTTGGGGGTCATCTCACAGTAAGCCTTGGAAAAGGGAAAGAGGGGGGTTCAACATGTTTTGCTCCCATGCCCCTGCAGAGAGGCCCAGGAGAGGAGGCAAACTGAGTGCATCCAAACCTATCTGGCTGTTAGAACACACTCGAACGTGGTTGGTGTGGATCCTCATGCAAATGATGTCCACTAAACGGCTCCCGACTAAGAATCGCACGCCATTTGAGCAGCGTCCATGACTTTTGCCTTACCAGCATCTTCTCACAGCCTTGCCATCTGTGTCAAACCAGCCAGGGGTTTAGGCCTGTGGTCCCAAGCTAAGCCTGATGAGGGCCGGCTTTTTTGCAGCTGCTGTTTCCGGGTGCAGTGTCCGTGCGAGGGTTCTGTCCGACCTCAAGTTGGGTATCCTCGACAAAAACACCAAATTTGAGCTCCATTCGGAATATGAATGATCACGGAATGAGAATGTCTGGGCAATTGTTGTAACTCACAACCAGAAATAAGGACGCCCCCCTTCATCACGGGTGAGCTCGTTTCACCCCCGTTATGTTGCCAAACCATGCTTGCAATTATATGGGTCCTTACATTCCTGATTCCCCAAACGCCAACTCCTTGCCTCTTCACTGCTGTCCTGGCGGAGGATGTTATCGCACCCACCCCCCCCAGACGGGAATGGCGTCGTTCCCTTTGAAAGGAGAGCACTATCCCGCCAACATGAAAGTGCACAGGCCCCCTTTGAAAGACCGTTTTGCATGGTTGATACTGCTGGTCGTGTCAAAAAGACAAGAATGACCCAATGTTGACGATGCCGTGGTAGACAATCCCGTCCCCCTAATAACAAATATGCTGCAAGACCCTCCCCCCCGTATGTATGCACATGCACACGATACGTGCCGGTGCAAACACCATCCTTAGACACAATTGCTGAAACTCAATCTGCAGTGGTCATTGAAGTCCAACATCTACCCCAACTCTGCCACGAAATCTCACTCGCACCACAGGCGCAACAGACACAGGCGAGAGAAACACGACACCCAACACAGCTGCAGCCTCTAGGCCTCAAGTCTCCGTCTTCCTGTTGAAATCCTATTGAACATGCAACATGCATGCAACATTCCTTGGCTTTCATCCACTTCTGGCGCGAAAAAATCACGGTTTGGTGTGTTTTTCAGAGTACCCGCTTCCGCCCGCTTCTCTGGGAAACGAAAGGGAAAACACCCTTCCTATTAATTTGAAGACAAACCCGGCTGCAGTTGTCGCTCTTCAAAACCTGTAACCTCCTCCACCGCACGAGGCCACACACTGCTCGGAGCAAACATACACACCGTGGCTCCCTGACATGGGGAAAAGGGGAAGAATGAAACATGAGGCCTTTAAATATGGTTGTGGACTTTGTCACTTTACAGCGGTCTCCGTTCGCTCACAGAAAGTGGCTCTCTAGACCATGGCCTTTTTCTAGCATCCCTAAAACATGGACGTGTCGTTTTTGGAGGGTCCCCTTGGGTCGCTTGGGCCTAAAACCCGAAACCCAACGGGTTTGGCGAAACGAGTCTTCCCCACCTCCTCATTGAGGTAGATCTCAACCTGGAACGACCTCACACCCATCTGTCTGTCTCCTGGACCCCCCCCGGTTGTGCCTTGGTTCCGAAGGGATATCAAAAGGAAAAGTATGGAGAAACCACGCAGCCTCTTTGATCTTATATGAATACGATAAGAACACAAGCCGACCCACAAAACGGACAACCACAAACAGCGGACCCCCGCCCCCCAAGAATGGTAAACTCCTTGAGTCCCTTCGAACATCTTCGAACCAAAAGAGAATCCCCTTCGGAAAAACAACAACAAAAAAGCACACCATGCCACACCTTTGCCTGACTCTTATTGGGGGACGCGTTTGGTGGGGATGTACGGGGACCCGCAACCACCGTTGAGGGGCCGTGCCAATCAAAATTCCATGCATCCGAATGCCTCAGCCTGCGGCCTTTGCGTCCTCAGCTGAAAAAACTCCGGCCGCGCGATAGCCTCGCTGCGGACGTTAAAGAGCTCCGGGACCTGCATGCTTCACGCTGCACAGCCGGCGCGGAGAAATCCGCGAAGCCTCCAGGCCTTTTGAGCCCAGACCCAAATGGGGGTTGATCAACAGGTCCGATGAACATGCAGTGACCATTTGGGAAACCACCATCAGAACTCAACGGTGCAGAATTTTGAGGCTCCTTCGAAGCTCAGGGCTGCCGATAGAAACCACAAAAATCAATCCCAGTTAGTGGATTTTAAGAGGGACACATAGGGAAACCAATCTTTGACACGCACAAAATTGCGGCATCCAGTCGGGCCTGCAGATTGAAACTGGAAGACTTCTGTAGCGGGGTCCCAGGCACACCTTGGCAACGCAATCGCTCACACTTGCCTTTGGCCAGTGGCTCCAGTCTGGCGATACAGCCACTGATTCTTGCAACCGGCAAACTGTTCAAAGGCAGCAACTGGTGTCAAAGCTGATATTGCCAACTGCTAGGTGACCCGTTCAATAGATTCTGACAAGTGGGTTCCTTTCGGATACATCCTGTGCAATCTTTCAGGGCTCCCGCACGAGCAAAAGCGCCCTGGGCCCCCAGCAGGGGCTGTCCACGCGGGCAGCCAAAATGATCTCGGCGGCCTTCACGCACCACTCGCTGTACACCTGCAAATGAATCGAGCTCGACAAAGAGTTGACCGAACCTGAGATGGTTGTCACGGTTTATATCGGCTTTGCTATAACCCCAATTCGACCAGGTAGAATCACGTACCTGCGATGGCGAATGGAAGTCTTGTGGTTTGCTTTCGTGCCCACCCCCCCCCCCCCCACCCCTCGCTGCCAATCGTTGCCAGCCCCTGAGTCCCCCGAAATGGCCCAAACGGACAGGGGTAAATAAGCCTGAAGTCTATGCTGGCACTTCACGCGCGTACAAACACCCCTAAGACTCAGGCTATGCCCTGGGGCGAACACCAAACAACTTCCTCACGTGGAAATATCGGGGAATCTGAAGCTCAGGTCGAGCCAGGTCATTGCGTGTTGGTCCTGATAAAGGCTTTGACAAAGGAGCATCTTTCTAACGTTGAACCAATGTCGAACGTTGTCCGTCTTGCTGTCTGCTCAAGGCTCCGAGCACATTCTGGCCGCTCACCCCGCGACTCGCCTTTTGGATCTGCTGACCCGCCACCGACATCCGGCCCTGGGCGTTCGGAGTGAAGGCGTTCGGAGTTCAGTTTGGTCAGGACTTCCAGCTCTGGAATCTCAAAAAACGGGGGTCCCCAAGAGGGTGTCGATCAGCCACTCAAGGTAAAAATCAAGAGGGCATGTTGTGCCCCTCACATTGGGTGGTTAAGAAATTGTCTTGTGTACCAAAATAAGGTTGGTGCAACTAGCCTACAAACAGCAAGAAGCTGATCAAGCAAACATTTGATCTCCCCACGCGAGGCACGATCAACAATACTTATTCTCGTGAAGGACAAGGGTCTCCTGTTTTTTGTTTTTCCTCTTTTTTTGAATAAAGAGTTCCCTCATGTCCCTGCCACATGTACTATATGCTACTGGAACTGTTGACCGAACCTCATGTGCAACTGTTAGATTCCCACCTCTTTACTTGTGAGCCCATCGTGTACCTTGATAGCATCAAGCAGGAAAGTGGTCAGCGCTTCCCCGCAGGATCCACACCAGCAAGCAATGTTGATAGAAACAACGGGGGTGTCTCTAAATGAGGGAACTCGCAACATGGGTGGTTATCTTGATTTACCCAAAAAAGACAGTGAGCCTCGACCAAAAGACATGCCCAAAAGATGTTCCTGCTGGCCAAGTCACTGACGTTGGTGGGGGACAAGCCCTTCCCCTAATCGGGGTAGTTCAGCTCAGGTGCATTCACTTCTCTGCCTCACTTCCCACTTCCATGATCTTGAAACAACTGGGCATGCCATCAAGAGGGCATGTTGCATGAAACATGATGCACTATCACAACTTCTCTGGCGGGCTCAGCGACGCTCACGACTTTGACTGCTAAGAGCCCTTGTGATTGTAAGGCTCTGAGATCAGAGAAAGCCCTTTCACCACAAGGTGGCAATTTGAAGCTAACGAGCAAATGGAACCCTGAGAAAGACAAGGACTCACTCACTGCAACCAGGTGCCAACATCAAGAGAAAACACACACGCACACCACAACCACAGTCACTACCACTTCGCAACAGTCAAGACAACCACCACAACTACGACCACGACACCCACACGACGACGACAACAACAAGTGCAACAGCCACGCCGCCGCCGCAACAGAACAAACCACCCCTATCAGTGCAAGGCAGCTATGACTCCTGCAATTCTGTCAAACACGATGATTGCACTAGTTGTGGTCCTGGTGCTGGCAGAGCTACTACTGCTACTGCTGCAACTGCTGCAACTACTACAGCTGCTACAACTGCTACTACTGCTACCACTCCTACTACTTCTATTGCTCCTACTACTTCTATTGCTCCTACTACTTGCTCCTACCACGGCTACTACTGGTATTACTGCTACGACTGCTGCCACTGGTACTGCTACCACTGCAACTACTTCTATTACTCCTACAACTTGCTCCTACCACTGCTACTACTGGTACTACTGCTACGACTGCTGCTGCTGCTGCTGCTGCTGCTACTACTACTACTACTACTACTACTACTACCACCACCACCACCACCACCACCACCACCACCACCACCACCACCACCACCACCACCACCACCAGCAGACACACAAAGAACATTGCGCACCTCAACATACACAACCTAGCATTCCAAGTAAAGTCATGTTCCCGCTCAAAGGTGCAGTCTTGATCAAGTGCAATCTGGGCAACACGTGAGACACAAGGCATGCTGCCAATTACATTGTTTTCTTAAGTGACCCGCATTGAAATTATGACCAAACCAGCTATCAGAATCGGAACCAGGTCTTGATTTAAACATTCGGCCCAGACTTCCGCGTCACACTCTGCACGCTGAGGCATAGTCGAGCAAGGATGCTCAGGCCATGAATTCACGCGCATAGGGTCTGGTCTTTGCTAGTAGGTTCAAGTTTGGTGCACCAGCTCATGGCTTGACACGAAGCTTGTTCAGACAGTCACAGTCTTCATTGAAACACCCAAGGACCCAGTCGAAAGATAAAATAGGGTCCATGAAAGACTAAATAAAACAATTTCCACATGCGGCCGACTCGGAGCCAGGACCGCGATTTGGCAGGTTTTCCCAACTCTCTGGAAATTACTCCATCAAATCCATTGCTTTCCTTCCACCAACCAGGGCCAATGTCTTGGACAGGTTCACGTCCTGCAAGTTTATGAACTGGGGATCTGGCTGGTTGCTCCAACAGTCATGCTTGTTACCCTTGCATCACTGAGGGCGCTGATGATGCTTGATTTATCTCGATTTGGCGATGGACAAAGGCCCCAACTCCACTGTTTCAGGGGGCTTCAGTGGCATAAAGCATTGCGACAATGCCCAGATTGGACAAACTGCCTGCGTCAATGGCTGATACAACAAGCGCCACCTTTCATCCAGTTCGACAACAGCGGTGACTGCCCTTTTCCACTGAGCTATATTGAGTCACCGTGCCGACCAGATTCGCATGTGCTAGCACAGCCGTGGTGGACGGCAGCCGTTGCGTCGCTCTGAGATTTTGCAGAGCATCGAATATGCTGGATGCACCGCACTTCTGCTTGCACCTGAGAGTATTGCGACCTTATGTGGGCATGTGTCAGTTGCTGCGCTTACACCAGAAGATCAAAGCAGAAAAACTGGGGCGCAACTCAAAACGCACAGCTTATCCAAGCGGGCCCTGATTGCCCAAACGAGGTGAAGCAGACCGGCCCTGTGCCGGTTTCGGGCAGCCACAGTCCGCATTGGACACAGCCGGAGGCGCTTGCGCGGCAAGCCGGAAGGTCCCAGGAGGAAATCCAGAGGTTGAAATTTGGCAATCGTCTGTTCAGGTGCTGATGATTCTGATACATCAAATACCGATTCGTTGTGCTTCAGCAAGATAGGATTCGAGTGTGAGCATCTTGTATCACGCCCTTGTCCGCCGGCATGGGCCAAATTGAAACCTCTCGTCTCCCATGACAGTCTTGGCACTTCTCTCTTCAGCCCCAAAACTCCTACAAGACAAATCCGCCGCCCACACTGAGTGTCCCTTTCGCCACCCACAGCGTGGGACCCAACGTTTGGAAGATCCGAAGGAGAACCCACTGTCAGCGCCTGTCTGGTTTTCGCGGAAAGGGTAAGTAACATATATCCAACGGGACTCACATGATGACCTGTTGTGCCAGCAAGCTATAACGACCTTCAGTATCATGTGTGATGTATTGCACCCGATCAGTGCGCTTGCTAGAATTGCATCATCCCGAACTAAGGCAAAAGTACAGTGCAAGTCGAGCTTGCCTTGCATCAGGAACTCAATTCTCAATTCAATTCTAGCTGTGTACCACGACCGGTTTCTGCCTTCCAAACGGTTAAATGTATTGATTTATTTTCAACAGTAACCCGAAAGGGTGACCCAGCTTTGACACATACCTCACATGGACTTTGGACGGCACTCACTCGATCACTTGCCCCTCTGCTGTCTTGCAACAGGCGCTCCCCCAAATCAGAAGCAAAAGCCATCTTAGCGTCTAAAGCCCACGTTTGCCTCTACCAAAATGGTCATCAAGATTCCCAAAACTTGTGCTTGCCCGAACTTGCACTAAGCCATGCAGAACACAGTAAATCGGCAACAAAGACTTTGGGCGTAAGCTGAAGTCGTTGCTCTAAACATCGTGACCCCCAGTTGCGACCGAAGGGTTTGCTCATGGAGGTCTTGTGATGGACTGGATCTTCCGTCAGGAAAGAATCGCTTCCTGAGGGCCGTCGGACTTTGCTTCGGAACAGGTGCACTCCCCAGAAAATGAGATACATGGAAGGCCCATCTGAGGCACCCACAAAGGAGGTTCATGCTTGTCGGCCAATAAGGAACCCCAAGTCAGGGACCTTCATGGGTCAGCTGGTTTTCCTCCCGATCGGTGAGTTAGTCATATTTTGTTTTCATGGGAAATGCGATGCGCCGTTTATGCAGCATCCCCAGGTTGCTGCCGCGGCTCGATTAAAAATCCGACACGTGCCACAAATGTCTGGCACAGCTGGTCAAGCGCTGGTGAGTGGAAATGGAAAGCAACTCTCCGGGCCATTGCCGATCCATTGCATCCGGGTCAAATCTGTGGTCACACTGCCAGCAGTTCCGCCACTCACCAGGTCTTAACTTCGGCAACAGATGAGTTTTGGGGCAAGATTCCCGTCAGCCCGATTTCTAAGTGACCGCTCAGCCAACATGCTATCGCGGCGGCGGCATCCTGAAGGAAAGTGCAAGAACCAAAAGCCCGAGCAAAAGGAAGCCGTGCTTATTGAGCGGAGGCAAGAACCACCATAGCCATAGCCGGCCACCTCTGCAGTTTCAAGTGTTGGGCATGTCAAGATGTATGCGTAATGTGCGTGTGCGTGTTTGTGTAATATGTATGTGTTGGTTGGTTGGTTGGTTGGTTGGTTGGTTGGTTGGTTGGTTGGTTGGTTGGTTGGTGGGTGGGTGGGTGGGTGGGTGGGTGGGTGGGTGGGTGGGTTGGTGGGTTGGTGGGTTGGTTGGTTGGTGGGTGGGTGGGTGGGTGGGTGGGTGGGTGGGTGGGTTGGTTGCTGGGTGGATGGATGGTTGGTTGGCTGGTTGGCTGGCTCGTGTGTGTGTGTGTGTGCCCCTGTTGCTGCTTTCTTTGATCATCCGGCGTGACATTTTCAATGGGCGAGCCTGGTCAGGCACGGATGAGTTATCCTCGAAGATATGGAGCCTCCGAATGTTGCCGTTCAAGGGTCGACCACCGAAACAACGAAGGGCCCCCCCGCCTGAGACGCGGCCAATCTGATATGAGAGGTCCCAAACCTTTCTCTCGTCACATCATCTCTGCACGTGAAGCTTGGATGATCCGTGTATGCAAACCAATTGTGCATTCCGATTGGGATGTGCAAATTTGCCTTGGCCTGCGCATGCGCAACCAAAGTTTGCAATGCTGATATCACTACCACTGAATCTATCACTATCACTTCCGTGCATACACAAAACAAAAGCAAAAAGCAAACACACACACACACACAAAGCCACAAGCACATATAGCCCGCGACAATTATA